TCTTTCCCCATTGCTCTCATCTAAATCATCCTCCAAGTAATTCTCTCCCAATCCTATTTTTACGTAAATTTCATAATTAAAGCACAAATGCATTCTCATTGTAAAAGCAAAGTCTTTTGATACTCCATCCCCGTAACAGTCCCATGCCAATATTTTCAATTTACGGGTGCCCTCCAGATGCTGCTACATCCTCCTAGGAAGTCCCATCTCCCCTCCCTGCCTTGACAATCACTGCTATCATCGGCACATCTCAACCAGTCAAGATTTTAAACAGCTTTAACTTCCTGTGGTCTATATTACAAAACCAGTATTGTTTCCAATATAAAATAGCGTTAGAATGTTTTGTCAAATGCCCTGATTCTTTTCTAGGGATTAACTAGCAGCCAATCAAGAAAGAGAATGCAAGTTAGTTTAAGGCGTCCAAGGAAAAGGGAGGAGAGAGGAGGGACTCTTCTAGGGCAAGTGGGAGAATTAATGCTTTAGAGTCAGGAAAAGAAGTTGGCGTTTATATACCTTGCAAGAACAGAAAGTGTCAGCACTCACTATATGTTCAGACAAGTTTAAAATAGAATAAAATGTTATAAATAACACTTAGGTATTAGATAATTTACAGATAGATTCATAATGAAAGCCTAAACCCTCACGAACTCTACAGTCAACATTAAGTCACCAGAAGCCCAAGTGTAGGCTATTCAGAAGGCCTCCCGAAGGGGAATTTCAGGGCATGGTCTCGTGTCCCCCAGGACATCGGAAGTGAGACTTCTAAATAGAGGTGAATCTAAAGTCAACTCAATCTTGATGCATCATGGTGCTGACATGTGCTTTGGGCAAGCAGGAAATTCATTCTGAAGTAGAACAGAAAAGCCTCCCCAAAAAACTAACTTGAGGTTTCTTAAGAAATGGACTTCACCCAGCAGAAAATGGTATCTTCCAAAGGTTTCTGCTGGCTGATGGGGAGGGGTTGTTCCTTAAACATTTCTAAATAAGGAAACTATAAAACTGAAAATGCAAGACTACCCCAGGGGATAAAAAGCAGTTATTTCAGAGGAAGAGGACTCTAATTACAAGGACAAGAGAGAAGAAAAGGCAGGGTGGGAGCAATGTCTAGGAGGGGCGGGAACAACAGCAAGAACAAACTACTGACACAGGATAAGAAGTATCAGAAAACTACACAGAAGGAGTAACAGGCAGGTATGGAAGTCACACTGCTGTACTTGCTGTATCATCATGAATGCCTCTGGCTGCAAGTAACAGAAAACCCACAATGCATATTTTTTTATTTCTCTTTCTCATGTAACAAGAAGTGTGGAAATGGCTCTTGCTGGTGTTAGTTCAGCAGCTCAGTGATGTCAGGGTTTACATCTCTGTGATTCAAGCCCGTTCCTCATGGCTATAAGATGGATGCTGCACAGCCACCCCTAACTGGAAGGTGCCAGGAGAAAGGGGTCGGAAATAGGGGTTACCAGGCAGCCAACTCTCTACCACAATAACATGAAACCTGTGAGCAAACTGGGCTCTTCCGAAAGGGGAGAGCCTGTAAAATGGGTGGGTGTTGAGTTCCTCCAAATGGAACCTAAGCTCCATTTCTAGAGAAACATGTAAATTCCCACACCACATTAGTATTGGCAGAAGGACAAAACACCTATTCCAAACTTTTGTGTGTTTCATTGCATTGACCAAGAAATTAACTACAGAACCCTCTTTCCAAAAAAAGTTCAGACGTTCTAAATGTAGTGAGGAGAGAACGTGAATTGGAACTGCTATAAAACACAAACAAGTTCAAAAAATCGTATTTATTTACAAAGGAACAGAGGAAATAAAGTGGTAAGCGTACATATTTACATAGCAAGTGTAGGCAAAACTTATCAAGAAGATTCTTTAAATACTTCTACAATCTAGCATTTAACGGTCAAAATCAGCTTCTAATTCTTTTATCACCTCAGGAAGATTTTTCAGGAGGTTCAATCTATGATTCAAAGTATGACTATCTTAATGAACAAATTATAATTTTATATTCTTTAAAAATCTCCAAGTTGCTGGAGGCCAAGTGAACCAGATCACTACCAATTTTTTTTTTTTTTTTGGCGGTACGCGGGCCTCTCACTGTTGCGGCCCCTCCCGCCGCGGAGCACAGGCTCCGGACATGCAGGCCCAGCGGCCACGGCCCACGGGCCTAGCCGCTCCGCAGCATGTGGGATCCTCCCAGACCGGGGCACGAACCCGCGTCCCCTGCATCGGCAGACAGACTTCCAACCACTGCGCCACCAGGGAAGCCCCAATCACTACCAATTTTTAAAAGATCCAAAGGCTCTTAAGTTAGAAAATCATAACTGCTTTAAGAAATTGTTTTTAAAAATCCAAATGTACTATCATCTGTTGAGTAGTACAATACAGACTTAGTTTACATTTTCTTAATCCATTAAATGGCATCGGTCACCTTATAATGAGACCTTACTGTTCTCTAATGAGAAACATTAAATCATTTACTATTTAGCTCTTAGGAGAATCACTCAAAGTATACATTCAGCTTTTAATAACATTAACATACATGGGGAAAAAAAAAAGATCCATTTCCCTAACTACCATCAGTAGCCAGTTAACTGCTGGATCTTCTAAAACCAGAGACAGGTATTCTTAAGAGTCAAGATCCTTCAGACCTTTGCACTAATATACCTCAGTGTATAGACTACATTTAACTTCCTTAACAGGAGGTGAGATCCTTTCACATGTAGGGATAAGTATGCTGGCATACTTCTGCAATCCTGCCTTGTAGGTGCAGACACAAGCCCTGTAGCTCGTGGCTTGGGCTATACCTGCTGTGTTTGTCAGTTCTTCCTTTAGTTCAATGTCCTTCTGACTGTGAAATATGGTGTCCAAACTGAAATGAAGCAAATATTTAACACAGAAACTATTCTGATGTAAAAAAAAGAATGGCAACACAAACACCAAATAACCCTTTGAGGCTTAACTCACTCAACAGTAAGTAATTGTTTAAGAGCGGGTTACATGTCAGGCACTGTGCTCAGTCAGGGCTGAGGACATGAAAGTGAGCAGGACAGTCACAGTTGCACAGACTGAGCTCTCCGTAGACTACAATTTGAGTCTCTATGTGCCCATCCCTAAGCAAGGTGCTATAAAATTTACAAAAAGAGATGGCTCTTTCTCTAAGGTGCTTGTAGTTGGCTGGAAAGAAAATGTGAAAAGAACAGTGAACAGTGTAAGACAAACCAGTAATACCTCCTTGATCCACTATCCCTGGGAAACTATGTGTTCCACCTAAGTGAATTTCTGAGATAACTGAAGGTTTTCAAATATCCTAGAATTTTAATAAACCAAGTTCTATACACTGCTCTGCCACTTAGATGTCAGATGGCAGATCACTTAACCACTTTCACGCTCATTTTCCTCATGTGTAAAAGAGGGAATATTGGCAACCCAAGGACCATCAACGAATCATTGGATTGACAAGATGTGGTACACACACACACACACACACACACACACACACACACACACACACACTGGAATATTACTCAGCCATAAAAAAGAATGAGATATTGCCATTTGCAGCAACATGGATGGACCTATAGCATATTATGCCTAGCAAAATAAGCCAGACAGAGAAACACAAATACTGTATGATGTCACTTATATGTGGAATCTAAAAACAAAACAAAACAAAAAGAATGTATATGCAAGACAGAAACAGACTCACAGATATAGAAAACAAACTTGTGGTTACCAAAGGAGAGAGGGAAGCGGGGAGGGACAAATAGGGGTATGGGATTAACAAACTATTATATATAAAATAGAAAAGCAACAAGGATATACTGTATAGCACAGGGAATTATAGCCACTATCTTGTAATAACCTATAATAGAGTATAAACTGCAAAAATACTGAATCACTATGGTGTACACCTGAAACTAATTCAATACTGTAAATCAGCTATACTTCGATAGAAAAAAATATTGCTGCAAAGGTCAAATGAGATGAGTAAAAAAAGTACTTTGCCAGTTACAAATTTCTATGCAAATGTTGAACACTTGGACACATTTGTAATTTTAATTGTAACAGTTCTAAAGTAAACTATATACTTTTTTGCCTTCTTAGAGTTAAGAATATAATCTTCTGAGTCAACATGATAAGCATCAGCTATTGTACAGGCACAACGGTAACTTAGAAACCACACACGCACTGAAACTGAGTAGAACGATTTTCCCCTGCTCTGTTGTGCTCTTTGAGTTGCCATCTGCTTTTTAGTTTTTCCATCTCCTTTGCTGTCTGACTGATGTCTGCCACTCTAAAGCCACCCACTGGACTTTATATACTGTCCATCTTTCACTCTCCTCTCATTCCTAAGGCTTATTCTTATTTACTACCTCAACTAGTTTATGAGATGGAAAACCACCCCCCAAATTTGGATTGTATCTAAACCAAAGAAAAGACACTTCAAGAAAGAAGAAATCTTAAGGGTTAAGGGTTGAAATATATTATGAGTTTTTTTAAGTATCCAATGAGCATGGTCATTGAAGTAATTATGACCTCATCTGCTTTGTTAAAAGCACAGTTAATGTCCTATTTATCTAAATAATCCAATCTTCATATTTGACCGGAAAAAATATTGGGAATATTCACATTTAAATATGGTTAGGTTGAATCTATCACACCATTTTTCTCTGGTCCTCTCAAAGTTTCAGACACCCGGTTCATACTGCAGACAGCAATGTCAAGTTAGCACGTGCCCAGGATAAACCATTATAAACTTATGCACAAGTACTTTTCAAATCAAGTGTCTCACCTCAAAAAAACTTCATAGTATGCTAAAAGCTAAAAATGAACGTGAAAGTCAACACAAACAACAGAAACATTAGCAGCACACAGCATCAACAATTTTAAGCCCATTCTGCATAATTAATTACTTCAAGGAACTTGAAGGCAAAGATACATCATGAACAATACGCATTAGAAAAACTGAAGATTTAAACTTATAATCTCACCCTTGAAGTTTCTGGACTAGAAAATGGAGAACACTCCCAGGAATTATTTTCTTTCTCAAAGGAATCTTCTTCTTGGAATGCAAATTTCTGCTTAAGTGCATGGGATATTAAAGACACTGGATCCCAAGGTGAGTCTTGTCTTTTCCTTTTATGAATGGGTCTGCCCCCAGGGGACCTTTAAAAAAAAATGGAATAAATTAAAACTTTGTGTAATTTAAGTTCCTTATTGACAAACACAGCAGAAATATAAGCATAATATATTACAATCTTCAAGAGATTGGAATGTTTTGCCTTGTAAAAAAAACAAATCTGGAGGGCACAATGGATTAGTAATCAGAAAGCTGAGAGCCCATGTGAGGCTCTACCACAATCCGTTGTAACCTGGGATTTATCAAATATCATCTTTATTTTTTATTTTCTAATTTTCCAGTCGGTAGAAAAATTTAAAGAAATATTTAAGAACTTTTAAAAGGACTATGGAGTTCAAGAAAAGAAAAACATCAGGCTAACTGTTCATTCATTCATTCAATCTTAATGCCCCCTATTTTACCAGGCTCTACGCTTCAGGGGTAGAGCAGTATCCTACTTCCACAGAACACTCTGGTGGCAGGACAGTGTTACACCAAAACAAGTAAGCAAGAACATTTTGGACAGCAATTATCCAGTGCTGTGGATAAAATAAAAGAGGGAAATGTGATAGTGGCTAGGATGAAAGCACTTTCAATGAGATGATGAGGAAAAGCCTCTTAAAGGAGGTGACATTCTCTTTAAGGAAATGACAAGTAGTCAATTTTAGTGTAAACATCCAGTGGATGCATCGCAAGGAGGTTGGCACCTGTGAGAAAAGAAAAAAGAAAAACAGGTACAGCTGGAGTGCAGTTAAGTAAGATGGGAAGTAGGACGTGAGGTCAGAGAGATAAGGGCTGAATCCTAGAGAGACTTCCAAGCCACAGCAAGGTGTCAAGATTTCATTCTAAGCTCAATGGAAAACCACCAAAGGATTTTAAGCAGGGGAATGGTATGATCTGACTTCAATTTTTAAAGGTCACTCTGGTTACTATATGAAGAACAGATAAGGAGGCAAGAATGAAAAGAGAGACCAGGTTGGAGGCAACTGCAAAAGTCCAAGCTATATAAGATAGTGGCAAGGGGCTTCCCTGGTGGCGCGGTGGTTGAGAGTCCGCCTGCCGATGCAGGGGACACGGGTTTGTGCCCCGGTCCGGGAGGATCCCACATGCCGCGGAGCGGCTGGGTCCGTGAGCCGTGGCCACTGAGCCTGCACATCCAGAGCCTGTGCTCCGCAGCAGGAGAGGCCACAACAGTGAGAGGCCCACGCACCGCAAAAAAAAAGATAGTGGCAGGACTTCCATGGTGGTCCAGTGGTTAAGACTTCGCCTTCCAATGCAGGGGGTGTGGGTTCAATCCCTGGTCGGGGAGCTAAAATCCCACATGCCTCCTGGCCAATACACCAAAATATAAAACAGAAGCAATATTGTAACAAATTCAATAAAGACTTAAAAAAAAAAAGGTCCACATCAAAAAAAAAACAAAAAAAGATAGTGGTTTAGATTGAAAGGTGGCAGTGAGGACCACTGAGGGTACATAAATATGAGCTGTATGCTGATGGAAAGGATGTGGGATAGAAAGGAAATGAAAAAACAGGATGATTTCCAGACGTCTGGACTGAGGGTGATATTGTTGCCATTTGCTGAGAAGCAAAAGACTTGGGGGAAGAACAAGTTTTCAAGGTAGAGGACGGAACAGGTAGGAAGGAAGAGTTCTGTTTTGGACATGTGAAGCATGAGGTACCTGTGAGACAGGCAAATGAAGATGTGAAGTAGGCATGGGGCTCAGAGGAGAGGTCAGGGCTAGAAAAATAAATGTGGGCATCATTAGCATTTAGCTGGTATCTAAAGCCTAGGACTAGATGAGATTACCCAAGGAAACAATGTGGGTGGACAGAAGAAGGGGGCTGAGGGCTGAGCCGATGCCAACATTCAGAGACCAGGCCCAGAAAAAAGAATCAGCAAAGAAATAAGAGGTGGACAATGAGGTAAGAGGAAAACCAAGCATGATTTCCTCAAGGCCAAGTGAAGAAAGTGTTCCAAGGAGGCGGGAACTGAGGACTGTATCAAACGCTGCTGAGAGGTCAAGTAAGAAGAGCAATGAGAATTGACCACTGGATTTAGCAACATGGAGTCACTGGAGACCTTGAAAGAACAGTTTTCAATGGAGTGATGGGAACAGACACCATATTACAGTGACTAGAAGGCAGTGAGAAATGGAAACAAACTATAAACAACAACAAGAATTTATACCAGAAAGGGAACAGAGAAACTATAATAGCTGAGGGTATACATGTTTTGAAGATGGGAAATGCTCAAGCATGAAGAGAAGAATAAAGATGGAAAATTTGATGGCGCAGAAGACAGAAGAGAGAATTTTAAGTGAAATGCTTAGAGAGAAGGGGAACCAGCGACCAAGGGGAGAGCATGGACATGATCAAGGATGCTTCATTTGCAATAACAAGATGGAAGGCAGAGAACATGGGTAGTAAATTTGTAAATGTAAAGATGTGGGAAGTCTCGTCGGATTTAGCAGTAACATATGAAACAAGATCAGTTGTTAGAAAAATGAGAGAATAGAGGGGTGGAGGGTGGAGTCTACTGGCGTTTCAGTCATTTCTCCAGTGATGGTAACAGCCACAGAGTCACCATTTTACACTGACTGTGCCCGACGATACCAGTAAGAGATCTAGTTGGGACTAAACGGGTACCTACAACCGTAAGATTTTTCTCTGTACTAGCTGCCTCATACAAGGATCAATCATAACCTCACTGATAATGAAATGACTTATGTGTCCTAACACTATTACATAGAAAATACATTTATTTTCTCAGCAAAACTTCACTGAGGAGTTTCCAGGTGAACATGGCAGATCTCTGTGAAAGCCTACTAAAATGACAGCAAAGAAATGAAAAAGATGTACACCCACAAAGACAAAGAGATTATGAGAGGAGAGAGTAGATAAGAATTGCAGCAAAATGTTGAAAGCTGGAAAGCTGATGACAGTGAAGAGAATGGGAGGTAAGCTGCCTTCCTGAAAACAGACGGATTGAGGAAAAGTCCACATATGGAATGATATGCTCCTCCCTTGCCCTTTCCCCACTCAACTCTCAAACTACCTAGCTTGCACCACCTGTGTAATCCCCAACTCTTCTGACCAAGGAGAATGAAGAACTTTCTAGAAAAACCCTCTAGTCCCAAAGAAAAGACATACAGCTACTGAAATATGGGATCTGGCTAACAAAATGGCAAGGTCCTCTCCTCAGTCACTAAATTGTGAAGCCCACCAGCTGGCAATCCCACCTCACACAAAGAAACTTCAATCAGCTTTTCCATACCTCACTTTTAAATATAAATGCATAGCTGCAAATCACCAGATACTTAAATAAGGCTCCAAAACTATAAATGGAGACCAAAATCAATAAGAGGAAAAGGAACTCAGGAAAAATGAACATAATTCAAGAGCAAAAGAAAACTTAGAATAAAACTGTAGTTAATATTTTCAGTAGCATAAGACACACAAAAGCAAGAAGACATAAAAAAGGAGCACTCAAAGAAAAAGAAATGGGTCTCGCAAATTAAAAATATGATGATGGGGGAAATTCCCTGGCAGTCCAGTGGTTAGAACTCCACACTTTCACTGCCGAGGGCTTGGTTCAATCCCTGGTCAGGGAACTAGAATCTCACAAGCTGCACAGTTCCCCACACCCCAGCCCACACCCCCAAAAAACAAGTGATGACAGGAAAAACAATAGAAGAGTTAGAATTTTCTCAAAAAGTACAATAAAAAAAAGCAAAGAGAAGAAAACAGTAAAGGAAAGATATGAAAATAAGACAAATAATTCTGGCATTCAAAATTCTAATAGACTTTCCAAGAAAAGAGAACAGAAGGAAAGAATAGGAGAAAATTATCAGAGAAATGTTACAAGAAATTTCCAAAAATAAAGGACATAAAACTCTAAACTGATTGAGTTCAATCAATAAGTGAACTCAGCGTAAGGAACTTAAAAAGAAGTAAATGCTCAGCATAAGAAACTTAAAAAGAACTCTCCAGGGCACATCACCATGAAATTTAAGAACACCAGGACCAAAGAGAAGATCTTAAATGCTTCAAGAACGAAGAAACAGGGGCTTCCCTGGTGGCGCAGTGGTTGAGAGTCCGCCTGCTGATGCAGGGGACACGGGTTTGTGCCCCGGTCCGGGAATATCCCACATGCTGTGGAGCAGCTGGGCCCATAAGCCATGGCCACTGAGCCTGTGCATCCGGAGTCTGTGCTCCGCAATGGGAGAGGCCACAACAGTGAGAGGCCTGCATACCGCAAGAAAAAAAAAAAAAAAAAGAATGAAGAAACAGGTTTCATACATGGCATCAGGAATCAAAACGACATTAACCTCTCAACAGGAACACTGAGAGCTAGAAACCGATGGAAAAATGTCTTCAAAATTCTGAGGAAAAATGGTTTTCTGTCAATTATATACCCAGCCAAACTAGCAATTAAGTGTGAGAATAAAAGAAAAAGAAATTCAGATATACAAGGTCTTAAATCTACCTTTCATGCACTCCTCAGGAAGCTGCAGGAAGAAGATATGACACCCAGGAAATGGGTGATGCGACACAGGACAAAGAGAATGCCCATGATGACGAAGGAAATCCTTAGGATGACAATGCAGGAAGTTTAGAGCAACAGGTGAGATTAGAACAGGACCGAGGGCTCCGTGAGGGGATTTCCGGGGTGGGGGGGATTCAAGGAGGCAATTATTAACTGCCATAAAAAATAAAATTAGTAACAAACAAAATGTAGTCATAGTATATGAAATGGCTTACCTGTGAATGTTTACTGTTATAGTCAGGATATAAATTCTGAACACGGATTTAAGGAAAGACTGTGACTTAACCATATTGGGAAGATGTAATAAGAAGTGTGTGTGCATGTGTGTTAGGGGGTAGAATGTCTAAGAGAACGTATTCCAGATTTTTAACAATTGCAAGTAAATATAACTAAAATATCAAGAAATAGCAAAAGTAGTACATTGTTTCAAAAATATGGAGATAGGACACTAGAACAAAGAGTCACAAAAAACTGAAAATCATTCTCTCTCGAGGGGTATTTGGGGTAAAGAGGAATCAGAGAAGACTTATCTATGTTTACTTTGATAAATATAATAATTTCTTTAAACACCATTGATAAAATTTGGGTTCATTTCTCAAATTATGACAACATACCTTTCAATAGCACGTAGCTTGACCTTATTCACATCCTTCAGAACATCCAACATGTTTGGAACATCTTTATTTTTCTGGTTTTTTGAATGATGACTAAAATTGGTTTTCCTAGTATCTGGGTGCTGTTTTTTCACTTCAGTTGCTGAATTATCTGATGCACAAATATTATTAGAGGCTGTTTGCACGAGAGGAGAACATGGAGGCTGTAGAGAAGAAACCTGAGGAGGCGGTGGTGGAGGAGGAGGAGAGGGAAACACTGAACTTGAAAACGAATCTGGTTCGACACTCAGTTGAGTAGTCCCTGATGATGGCATGTGTCCCAAACCACTAGGCCTGTTGTTCTTCAAGTCCAAGGAGCCTAAAGAAAATGTGGTCTGTTGAAAAACCATGCAAAATTTTCTCCAATATAACACGTAACACTAATTAGAATCAAAACAGGAACAATTCTGTAATGCTACTAAAATAATGATACTGTGGCCAGGAAGGTGAAGCAATCCCATCTGCTTAGTAATTTCTGAAAGAGTCAAGCAAACAGTAAATTCATTTTTAATCCAATTAGGATTCTCTGTGTAGGGGAAGGGGGAGAATGCATTTTAAAGAGAAAATTAAAAGTGCTTTTTTCACATACAATCTGAATCTCATCCTCTATTACAAAAGCCAAAACACGATCAACAACTTGTGGCTAGAAACATGCAAGCTGATATATTCACTCTAATGATGACATTGTAGAAACACCCAGGCATATATTTTCTAGGCAGGAGCCTAAGACGGGTACCAAATACTTAACTTTTTCACAACAGATTTGCTCCTAAAATCATGTGTAACACGACTGCTTTAAAAAAAGTGTATATATCATACCTCATTTATTACCCAGTAGTATATATAATATTTAATATAAATTATAAATATACAATACTATATAAGTATTATGTAATACATAAATTATATATGTGTTTATATGGATGTTTTCATATACATACAGATATTGTGTGTGTATGTATATTATTTAAAGCACGTCACATCTCTAAAAATTTTAAAAAGAATCATCTGGAAAACAGTATTCACCTAGATTTGGTGGAAGTAGAGCAGCAATAACTTCAAACTACAAATATATATATATGAAGCCTCAAATCTACACTCTTGTCTCAAATTAATGCATCCCTCCGCTTAAATGTCCAACACTTTTCTACGGAGTTAGAAAAGCTTACAGTCAGCCCTCCATATCCTCAGGCTCTACATCTGCAGATTCAACCAACCGCAGATCAAAAATATGAATAAAAAAAAACAAAAAAACTCCTGAAAAGTTCCGAAAAGCAAAACTTGATCCTCCATGCACTGACAACCATTTACAAAGCATTTCCATTATATTTATAACTACTTGCATTTTATTAGGTATTATAAGTAATCTAGAGATGATTTAAAGTATATGGGAGGATGGACGATGTGTATAGGTTATATGTAAATATGCCATTTTATATAAGGGACTTAAGCATCCTAAGATTTTGGTACCCACAGGGGTCCTAGAACCAACACCCCACGGATGCCAAGGGACAACTGTACTCAGAAAACCGGCTTTTAAATACAAAACTACAATCTTCGGCAGCATAGCTAGCTCTTCTTTAAACCAAAGCCATCCCTGTCACTAGAAATGCATCTTAATTTATTCTCAATAAACATCAGAGCTAACACATATATACACCCAACATCGTTTCATATTTAATGTCATTCATAAGATACATTAGCAGCAAACATTCTTTTCTTACTCAGAACCACACTGACTGAAATACTAAATGAGTATCATCCAACTGAAATAAAAATCCAACGTTACTCACCAGAATTTGTACTGTTTCTCAGTTCTTGCCTTCCCACAATTGCAGCAATCTGAGAGCGAAGAAAAGCTAGCTCATCTTCAAGGGCAGCTATTTTTTTAATTGCAGCTTCACTTTCAGGCCAATCACTTTTTGTTGGTTTGTTATGCCTTAGAGCAGGTGTCAATGGATCTTCAACTAGTTGCAAAGGATGGAAAGAAGCGATTTTCTCCTCTTCTTCATTTTTCCATATACTATTTCTGTAGGTGGAAGGAAAAAATGGAAAGAGAGAGAGAAGGAGGAAGAAAAATTTTCTAGAAATAAATTCTTTAGGTTAAAGAATAAAGATACCAAAACAAAACCAGAATAGCTGTCTTTACCCTATAATGGTCTCTAGACTCACTAAGGACAAACAACATCTTATGTAACTTTATATTCTCAGTACCCAGAACAAATGCTGACTTTAATAGGTGACCAATAAGCGGTCAGTGAATGAAGGAACACATCTTGCTTTCAGACTGTAAACCAAAAATAATAATCCTATCTATTAACTTCAAACACAGTACAAATTGATTTATTTAGAAATAAAGTTAATTTATTTAGAAATTCTACATATTCGGAATATAAGGTCCTACAGGATTCCTTGTTATGTTGGGGTAAGTTTACCGTATTAATAATTTTTTGAAAATTTATAAACCAATTTGATATAGAATAAATTTAGCCAGTTTTTCTGAATAACTGACCCTTTTGTACTTCAGCCTGTATCTGAATACACTAACAGCTAAGTTAGTACTACCAAGCAATAAAACATCCAAATGTTGAAATATATTTAACATCATTGCCTGGTAAACAGTAAACACTATATAAGTTTTGGCTAAATATATAAAATAAATATAGTATTTAGTACAGGAAAGAGCTTTCTCCAAAAATGAACATGGTGATTTTTATATCCTTTTAATATCATTCCTTCCTAGGACTGGGGTGAGGATTAAATGTGCATTAAGAAAGGCTAGCTAGGGGCTTCCCTGGCGGTGCAGTGGTTAAGAATCCGCCTGCCAGTGCAGGGGACGTGGGTTTGAACACTGGTCTGGGAAGATCCCACATGCCGCGGAGCAACTAAGCCCGTGCGCCACAACTACCAAGTCTGTGCTCTAGAGCCCATGAGCCACAACTACTGAGCCCACACGCCACATCTACTGAAGCCCACACACTCTAGAGCCCGTGCTCCACAACAAGAGAAGCCACTGCAATGAGAAGCCCTCACACCACAACGAAGAGTAGCCCCAGCTCATCGCAACTAGAGAAAGCCCGCGCACAGCAACGAAGACTCAACACAGCCAAAAATAAAAAATAAAAATACATTTAAAAAAAAGAAAAAAGTGGCTAAAAATGAGAAAACACCAGTCATCCCTATTAGGAAGACATTAGCAGGACACAGCGCAGTACAGAGGTAGACAAATAAAAAGGCTTGATCAGTCTGAACATACTTCACCATGTGGAAGAATTCAGATTATAGCCCACACCCCACTTTCCAAGATAAGTAGAAAAATTACCGAAATCTGACATAACTGGCTTCTTCATCATTCGTCACACACAAAACGTCAGCAAAAGATGGAACTACAGATCCACAGTTAGCTGGGTCCACAGAGTTCAAGAGTGGGATCAGCTAAAGGAAAAAAGGAAAAAGAAAGTCAGGGAGTCGGGGAAAGACACATGCCCGTGGAAACTATTTGTGTAAATTAAAAATTCACAAGAGTGAACAGGAAAAAGGATATGCAATAGAAAAACATACACCTATTAGCGAGAAAAAAAACTGAGGAAAATAATTATTCTAAAGTCTACACATGTGGCAATATTTTCTCCCCTAGTGAATGTCATCCAACATAAAACACAAACTAGAAGAATAAAATAAGCTACTCAGTGGTTGCTTTGCATCTGCCAATCTTTGGATATAATTACTTAAAAAAATAAAGACAAAGACACACGTGAAGTGACTTGTTTCCAGGATAAACTAAAGGTTTTTGGCTTGCAGGAAACATTTCTTCTTTTGTTCTACCCTATGTCCCTAGGAGTACCTGGGATAATTTTACACATGGTACTTAAACAATGCATGTTGACTGACTTACCTCAAAATTAGGCCTGGGACAAGGTTCTAAAGGAAGAATTTTCCCAATAATACGAACAATACTCCGAGCTGATCCATAGTCTTTATTTTCCCAAATCTGCAAAACCTATTTAAACATAAAGCATTGTTTAAAAAGTAGTACTCTATTGAGCATGTTTATATTGATATTATTTATGGAAAAAATGTAAAATATGCAATAACATTTATTTTTAAAAAGAAAATATAGAATGGCATACTTCTAAAGTATTTTCTTCAAAGAATTAAACTTTATTCATATCTGTCTTTAAACAAGTGGGAAGCAGGGGGATGGGAGTTAACATATACAGATTCCAGGAAGAAAGATCTTTTGAGAAAGCACCACAAATTCATTCTGTTTTATTTCTGATAATGGCCAAATATCTTGGGGAACTTTATTCAGAAAAATTGTCTCCCCTCCTCCCAGCTAAAAATCCCATCTTTGGGCCCAATGAAAAATGGACAATTTCAATTTTTCAAGCAGTGAAGTAATACAGAGTATATTCATGTAATTTCCTTTAAAGGAGGAATAAAAAGGGGAATAAATGAAGCAGGCCCTAAACAGTTTAAGGATGCTTTACTTACTGTTGTACTGGCACAAAAAGAGACATATAGACCAATGGAGCACAACAGAGAGCCCAGAAACAAACCCACGCATGTGCAGTCAATTAATCTACGACACAGGAGGCAAGAATACACGATGGAGAAAAGCAAGTGGTGTTGGGAAAGCTGCACAGTTACATGAAAATCAATGAAGTTAGAACACTCCCTCACACCATACGCAAAAATAAACTCAAAATGGTTTGAAGACCTAAATGTAAGACATGACACCATAAAACTAGAGGAGAACATAGGCAAAACATGCTCAGACATAAATTGTAGCAATATTTCCTTAAATCAGTCTCCTAAGGCAAAAGAAATAAAAGCAAATATAAACAAATGGGACCTAATTAAACTTAAACGCTTTTGCACAGCAAAGGAAACCATCAATAAAATGAAAAAACCTACAGAATAGGAGAAAGTATTTGCAAACTATGCAACTGACAAATGGATAATCTCCAAAATATACAAACAGCTCATACAACTCAATATCAAAATAACAAACAACCCAATCAAAAACTGGGCAGAAGACCTAAATAGACATTTCTGCAAAGACATACAGATGGCCAACAGGTACAAGAAAAGATGCTCAACAGCCCTAACTATTAGGGAGATGCAAATCAAAACAACGAGGTATCACCTCATGTGGGTCAGAATGACTATCATCAAAAAGTCTACAAATAATAAATACTGGAGAGGGTGTGGGGAAAAGGGAACCCTCCTACACTGATGGTGGGAATGTAAATTGGTGCAGCCACTATGGAGAACAGTATGGAGGTTCCTTAAAAAAATACAAGTAGAGCTATCATATGATCCAGTAATATCCCACTCCTGGGGAAAACTCTAATTCAAAAAGATACATGCACCCCAATGTCCACAGCAGCACTATTTACAATAGTCAAGACATGGAAACAACCCAAGTGCCCATCAACAGACTGGTTGAAGAAGATGTGGCAGATATAGATATAGATATAGATATACATACATACATACACACATACATACACACAATGGAATATTACTCAGCCATAAAAAAGAATAAAATATTGCCATTTGCAGCAACATGGATGGACCTAGAGAATATCATACTAAGTGAAATAAGTCAGACAGAGAAAGACAAATATTATCACTTATATGGGGACTCTAAAAAATACTACAAATGAATCTATAAACAAAACAGAGAAACAGACTCACAGACGTAGAAAACAAACTTATGGCTGCCAAAGGGGAAAGGGAAGGGGGGTTATATTAGGAGTATGAGACTAACAGATACAAACTACTGTGTGTAAGATAGAAAAGCAACAAGAATCTACTGCATAGCACAGGGAACTATATCAATATCTTGTAATAACCTATAATGGACAATAATCTGAAATATTATATAACTGATCACTTTGCTGTACAGCTAAAACTACACAATAGTGTAAATCAGCTATATTTCAATTTTTAAAAAGAGAAAAAATAATGCTTTACTTACAGTGGAATACATTTTCTAGTAGTCAGTTCTTAAGAAGATAACAGAAATGAAATGTGCTTCTATAACTCAAATAATAACTTTGTTCTTTAGCTTGGAGTTTCCCCTATTAGTGTAAACTATTCCCACAGGAACTTCCCCCAAAATGACATAATGTTTGTTCTTTTGGAAGTGATTTCAACACAAAGGAGGCATTTTCTCTCTTTAAAAAGCATTAAAAATTGGACTTTTCATTTTTCCTGAGATCCCATAAGGAAAACCAAGTTTATTATAAGCCACAGATATAGAGGTAGCATCCTATCAGCATCCTCATGGAAACATCCAGTAAGCAGATGGATACACAGTTCTAGAACTTAGGAGACAATCTGCATTAGAAAGATGGATTTGGGAATCATCAGCATACAGAATACATGCCAGGTAAAAATCGAATCCATAGGACTAGTTGAGAAAAACTGGGGCTAGAGAGAATGATTTGAAAGTCATCAGCACATAGAATCTTCTGCACAAAGTCATGCCATTCCTCTGCTTTTAAATGGCAAGGGTTCTGAATTTATCTGATCATATCCAAGCATCCGGCTCTAACCATTAAATACTGATTCCATCAGCCAGCCTCACAACCTTCCATCAATTCTGCCAGCTCAGTTGTCATAACATACTCCATTAATTGCGTATTCATTCTCCAATCACTCTCAAAGGTCCTCTGCCACTTGGCCCTATTCTATCTATCCAACTTCATTTCCCACTATCCATTAACAAGAACACATGCTCTTTTGGGTTAAGCAGTTTTCCTTCAGATTGATGGCCTCTCTCAATTGCTTTTCACAAACTTTTCAAAAGAAGGTTGCTGATGCCACTTCCCTTCCTCAGTCATTCTTCAAACTACTACAGTTCAGCTGCCACTCTCCACCTACAGAAATCCCTAAAGGCATCAATAATCTACTGAAAAGCAAATCTTCAACAATCACTCAGTCTTTGTTGTCTTTAAATCTCTCCAATTCTGAAATTCAAAATGCTTCAATAACATCCAGTGACATCCTCCATTACACGTCATCAAAGTCAAATATCAAAAGAATGTCGATCACTCCAAATCTGAATCTCTTTTCTTTCCTACATTCCAGAACCATATACCCAATTATCTGCAGGACCTTTGTATTTATATATTCCAACAGCACATATGACTTATCTCCCTACTCAAAGTAGTTTCACGTATGGAACTGTCCATTTATATTAATGGCTCCATCATTTTTCAACTTTTGTTTAAAACATTTTAATTATCCTTGTCTATTCTAATTCACAACACCAAACAGCAACAATTTGCCCATTTTCTGTAAGCCCCCCTATTATTTTTGTGTCTCTCTTATATTCAGTCCTGTATTACAGTTATCTGTATACGTTTCTTATATCTCATATTATATTTTAAGCATCATGAATACAAGAACCATGTACTGCTACTCTGCATCACCTACAGAAACAAGCATATTGTGTTAGATGTCATAGCTACTCAGTAAGTAGACAAAATTTGATCTGCTTATGCTTCTCGCACCTAAGCCAACCTCTCTCCTTAATATTTATTCTGAATTTGCTGAGCTATAACTTGCCATTCTATATCGAAGTATCAAACTTAAATTACCTTAAATAAAGCCACTAGATATTTTTTAAATATTTTATCTATGAAGGTCATGTCTATCTTTTGCTTCGGTTGTATCTTTCGTTGGCATTTGACCTATCAAATAAATGGGTTCCTGATAATCTTATCCCTTTTTTAACTCAAACTATCAAAGCTATACTAAAGGAAACTCGCCTTTGTTACACCTATAGAGAAGTAACAATTTTGCCTTGAGTGTTGACATATAAATCATTTCTAAAATAAGACCTCAAACAAATACAACAGGTTCATTCAAATCCATTAAAAGATATTTACCTGGTTCACAGGAACACCAAAATATTCCAGCATCTCTCTTAAGATACTCAATATGAATGACATTGATGAGGCAAATACAGAAGCAAATTTAAGGAAGCATTGTTTCTTGATACCTTAAGGGGAAAAAAATTAGAAAACATTATTCTTGATAAATAACTGTCGCACAAAATTGTACTAAATAACTGGAAAACCCCTTTGGTTACACATTACACCATCAACTAATCTCTCTGGCCAGCATTATTTTAATGAGAGGAGAGAAAAAAAGGAACGGGGGAATGGGGAAGGGTTGGTAAAAGAAACTTCAATTTATCAGTTAAGTTGCATTAAAAATTCCTCTGAAGGGACCTGGTTAATAAATATCAATCAGCGAAATTGGAAACTTAGCAGGGAAGCCTTCAAGTTAGTTGCAACAGCGATGCGCCCTCTCTCCGAAAGCTTTGGGCTGAGACTCTTAGAAGGGATGAGTTCAACCCATCCTTGAAAGCAGTCAGGGGGCCGACTCAAGGCTTTGACAAAAGGAACGGTAGCTCTTCCTCACTAACGTATCGGAGTACCACCCACCTCCTTGCTTATTTTAAAGAATATGAACCCCAGATAGGCGACGTGACTTAGTCACCTAACTACTAAATAACAGGCCGAGACTAGCGCCCAGTCACATCACTCGCTTTGGCCCCAAGCTCCCTCGGCGTCTCTCCTAACCCAGCATGGTCGCCTGGCTTACCTTCCTCCGAAGCCCAGCCTCTCGGCAATCACGGGAACTTCAAGCAGTCGCTAAGGAACCTTGCCGCGGCATCCGCAGAGGACTAGGCCCGGCGTGCACTCGTCCTGGTCCAGGAGCGCTCAGACGTCCATACGTGTCCGCCCGTGCGCTTCGGCTTGCCTGCCACGGGCGGTGACGACGCCTGCACTGGCCCAGGGCTTGGCCCTGTAGCCCCTCACTCGGCCGGGGTAACTCGGCTGGAAGCGCGGCCCTCCGCCCGTGCGCCACCGAACCTGTCCCTTGCCTCCACAATGGGCTCACCATTTCCGGGTCCCCCGACTAAACTTAAACTCCGCGGGCCATGACCCGTGCCCGACCTCATTGGACAAGGCTGAAGATCGTTGCTTGTGACTGGTTACGTAATGACGTCAGGTTATTTACGGTTATTTAGACTGGCTACTGAGTGTCTTCCTCCTTCAAGAGGGCGGGCCTTCAGCGAGGCAGCCAATAGAAGCCTAGAGGCACAGGTGGGCGGGGCAGGCAGCGCAGGGACGATGACGCATGCTCAAGACTCGCTTTTAGGTTTCCCGGGTGCTCCTACAATACCGGTGTCTACAGCCCAGAGTATGGAGCCATTATGGCCCTTGGATCAGGCCCACGATCCGGAGTTCGTGCCCCACACAGATCTTCGCAGGGAAAGTGTGTCATCCTCTACATACAGACCCGAAGTGGGGCCGCTCTCCCAAGTCCGCTTGCCGTGGAATGTCGCGATTTGTTTAATAATTCATTCGTCTATTCAGCAAACATCTATTTTATGCTTATGCGACTAGCAGATGCTAAACGCTGTCATCGAGGAATCTGCAGCATTGCAGTACTTACAATGTTCGTTCATGAAACGCTCCAGGTTATCCAGGCTGCCAATGCTGATCTGGCCTAGCCTACGATGGTAAAGTGACCACCAAGTCCTGGCAGGTGATATCCCAATTTTCAATTCTGATCTGAGGTTACTGGCTTCATAAGAAACAACAGCTACTGGGCTTCCGTGGTGGCGCAGTGGTTAAGAATCCGCCTGCCAACACAGGAGACACGGGTTCGGTCCCACATGCCGCAGAGCAGCTAAGCCCGTGTGCCACAACTACTGAGCCCACGTGCCACAACTACTGAAGCCTATGCGCGTAGAGCCTATGCTCTGCAACAAGCCACAGCAATAAGCCCACGCACCACAACGAAGAGTAGCCCCCACTAGCCGCAACTAGAGAAAATCCCACGTGCAGCAACGAAAACCCAATGCAGCCAAGAATAAATAAAATTAATTAAAAAAAAACAGCTACTGCTTCTAGTATTTCAGTGAGAAATGCATTGGAGTGACATATAATTTAGGATCAACTGTGTCTGCTGCTGACCAACACAGTCAAAAAATGGGAGCATTGGGGCTTCCCTGGTGGCGCAGTGGTTGAGAGTCCGCCTGCCGATGCAGGGGACACGGGTTCGTGCCCCGGTCCAGGAAGATCCCACATGCCGCGGAGCGGCTGGGCCCGTGAGCCATGGCCGCTGAGCCTGCCCGTCCAGAGCCTGTGCTCCGCAACGGGAGAGGCCTGCATACAGCAAAAAAAAAAAAAAAAGGGAGAATTTTTCAACTAATTTCTGTGTGTCCATAACATTTATTCATTAAACTAACATTGAATGTAGTATGTCCCAGGCATCATTCGAAGGCACAGGGAATGTAATGAGCAAGGCAGCTGAGGTCCTTGCCCTCCTGGAGCTTACACTCTAGTAGAAACCTCAGAGACGATTCCTCTGAGCAATATATATAAAGAACATCTCGCTCCACGATTTATTTTTCCTTATAGCACTTATACCGTGTATATTTATGCTCCACCACCTGCCAAACAAAACTCCAGAATAGGAAATTTGTTTTGACCCATGCTGTATCTCCAGCACTTTAGAAGACTGCCTGGTATATTTGATGGGCGTTCAATAAAATAGTTGGATAAATTATTTGAATATTTGTTGAATAAAGTAATTGGATATGGGATGAGAGAAAACAGACACCAAGAATGATTTGAAACGAAGAAACCGGCAGAACAACAGTGATTATAGTGACAGGCCCAGTAGTCTAGGCTAGATAAGGATTAAAGCAGGAGAGGGGTGCTGGACAAATGTAAAAGAATGCAAATGGATCAGCGACCCTACGTAGCATTTTCTCAAGTTCCTTGTCCTTCCCTTTTGCCTTCATAAATAATGATCTTATAACCTCCTCCCTTACCAATCTGATATCAAACAGCACACAATAGGTGCAAAAGGAGAATATCCCTTGAGAGCATGAGAAGGGAAACCAGTGGTATTAAAGCCTCCTTCAGGGTGCATTATTATTACTATTTGTGTGTGTGTGTGTGTGTGTGTGTGTGTGTGTGTGTGTGTGTGTGGTATGCGGGCCTCACTGTTGTGGCCTCTCCCGTTGCGGAGCACAGGCTCCGGACGCGCAGGCTCAGTGGCCATGGCTCACGGGCCCAGCCACTCCGTGGCATGTGGGATCTTCCCAGATTGGGGCACGAACCCGTGTCCCCTGCATCGGCAGGCGGACTCTCAACCACTGCGCCACCAGGGAAGCCCCAGGGTGCATTATTAATAGAGCTCAATATTCAACTTCGATTTAGGTAACAACACGGTGGGCCCAGGTCAAATGCTACATCTCCATGAATGCTTTGCTGACAATTTCCCTCTAAAATTAATTCTCCAGTGATCCTTCCTCCATTTTGTTTACTAAAGCATTCATACATACCACATCTTGACAACCTTTTACGAGATTTGACATTAATATTTTTCTATTACTTTTAAGTGAAATTACTTTCGTGAACTTTTAGAATGATGCAGAATTTAAGTAAATCTTTTCTACCTTTTCTATCATTTTTGAGTAGTGTTCAAATATTTGATGGCATGCTTTCTAAGATTTTCCTGGCTGTGTTCCCCTCCCACAGTTGAATCTAGGCCCTCTCAATCCACCGTGTCTACCCTGCGAATTAGGATTCCACTTTCAGTTCTTTCTCCTCAGTGTGGGGTCCCGTCCTTAAAAGGAGTCTTGCCTTGACAGGTCCATTTTGAGAGTTCACTGAGGTAAAGTATTCCAGTCTCTGTAATCCTTACTGTGGGTACCTTGTGCTCACTATTGGAGAGGAAAAACTCCCAGTTTTAGTAGGCTCACTTGAGATTCTCCTTTTCAAGCCTGTCAGATGCTACCCCAATTCTTAACTTCTACTCACATAGAAATCAGTACCAGGCAGGTTGGTCTTCTGTCCCCATCCCGGTATTTGTGGGTTCGTGGGAAAAGCTTGTAACCTAGTTTAATTGTAAATGCTGTCCAAAAATAACTGGTTTTGTTATCTAGATGTATTTTTTCCATTTTCCCAGAACCATTAATAATACATTATAGTTAATCATCACACTATGTATTGGATCCCCGAGATCAATAATTTATTCAACTTTACAGCCAATGCTAGGCATACTTTCCCAGTGAACAAATGGAGGCTGAGGGCTGGCTTGAAAAGAGGCTAGAAAGATGGGTACTCAATCTTGCCAACTGCCCAGTTGAAACCCCATTAGCCTCTGACACAAGGCTAAGTTTTAGGTGATTAGGAGTACTCGAATTACTATAATTATCTTAATGGGGCAGGATACAATGTAACATTCTAACAAGTAGGCAATAGCCTCTCCAACCTTAACCATAGGATGTCATGAAAAGGTGATATCCAGACTGGGATGCACATGCCCAGCCCAGAAAGTTCACTTAGTTATACATTTCAAAAAAAATAATACTTAGGGCCTTTTTCCTTCTGTTCTGCTACCTATGCTTGAAACCTCTCAGGGGCAGTAGTAATGCAGTATACTTAAACCAACCAGCACTATTTAAAAGATTACATACTTCTTAAAGGTTCATTAAAACTTTGCAATTGTTTATTCAAAACTTTTAAGTATTAGTTGACATTAATTAGGACCAAGATTTTCCTTGATATTAAAATCATGTTTCAAACTAAACTGTCCTGAAAATCTCCTCTGCTTTTTGTATTGACAATAAAAATGACTAAGTAACGTAAAACACAGTTGAGAACTACTACCTATGTATCTATACCTACTATATATCTATAAATTGCTATTTACTTGTGATATATTAAAATTACAAAATCTAAATTAAATAAGTCTAAGTGCAGGAATTATTTTATTTGAACCTTTAAATAACATATAAAAGCCTAGGTTATTGCAGTGTTTGAATCCAAAGGTCTTATGTGTTTATTGGCTACTCATACTATTTTTGAACAAAAATATTTAGACCTCTCTAAAAGCATAAAGGTGAATGGCAGCTTGATTTTTCTGGTTCCATTAGTTTTAGAAAATCCATATGACTTAATAGATTCTATACTGTTTTCTGATACAATCGTATGTCCACAAAGAGATATGCCTTGACTTTCTCAAACACTTAAAAAGAGTTGATTAAAGCCTAGAACACAGAAAACACAGTTAAAGGATGTCCTGGTTTTACTCTGCTTCTGGATCATCCAGACAGTCCAGTTAAACATCTTTTACTCGTAATACTTCCATTTAGTCCTTTTCATTTTTTAGCAATAATCAACTCATAATTTTCAAAACTCTCATGGTCTGAGTAACGGGAAAAAGAAAAAAACTCTACTTCATAAAAATTCCAAATAACTTATATTGATTGTCTTACAGTAGCAAATAATTTGCTACTGTAAGACAGTCATCAAAAAATTTAGCATATTTCAAAAAAGAATACGGCGTTAAGTCTTAAATATTGAAGTTCATTCCTATCACATTGAAAACTGTAGCAATAATACAGCATTTCTTTTTAATTATCACAGGTAATTTCAGTTGATAACACACAGTTTAATAAAGCAAGCACCTGAGAGTAAAATGTAGTTCTTAAGTAGTTCAGATGGCTAGAAAAAAGTTCAGCTTCAGGTAGCCCAGTATTCCTGCTAGGGAGATATCCAGATTCTCCATACTTCTATAAGCAGAAAACTATGATATTCACAAGCTGCCTACTCCTTTAATTTTACTTTTGATTGAAGTATAGTTGACTTACAATGTTGTATTTATTTCAGGTATACAGAAAAAGAATTTAGATTCTTTTCCCTTATAGGTTATTACAAAATATTGAGCATACTTCCCTGTGCTACAGTAGGTCCTTGTTGGTTATCTATTTTGTATAATGTGTATCTGCTAATCCCAAGCTCCTAATTTATCCCTCCCCCACCCTTCCCCCTTTGGTAACCATAAATTTGTTTTCTATGTCTGTGGGTCTATTTGTGTATTTACGTTCATTTGTATTTTTTTTTAAGATTCTACATATAAGCAATATCATATGATTCCTAGGTCCATCCATGTTGCTGCAAATGGCATTATTTCATTTTTTTATGACTGAAATATTCCATTGTGCATATATATCACATCTTCTTTATCCATACCTCTGTTGATGGGCATTTAGGTTGCTTCCATGTCTTGGCTATTGTAAACAGTGATGCTATGAACACTGGGGTGCATGTATCTTTCAGAATGGTTTGCTCCATATATATGCCCAGAAGTGGGAGTGCAGGATCACATGGTAGGTCTATTTTTAGTTTTTCAAGGAGCCTCCATATTGTTCTCCGCAGTAGCTGCACCAATTTACATTTACATTCCCACCAACAGTGTAAATGCGTTACTTCTTCTCCACACCCTCTCCAGCATTTATTATTACTAGACTTCTTGGTGACAACCATTCTGACCCACATGAAGTGGTAACTCGTAGTTTTGATTTGCATTTCTCTAATAATCAGCCATGTTGAGCATCTTTCCATGTGCCTTTTGGCCATCAACATTTAGGTCTTCTGCCCATTTTTCCTTTGGGTTGCTTTTTTGATATTGAGCTGTGTGAGCTGCTTGTATATTTTGGAGATTATTGTTAATTGGCTTATACCAGTCAAATCTCTTGTTGGTCGCATTGTCTGCAAATATCTTCTCCCATTCTGTAGGGGTTTTGTTTGTGGTTTCCTTGCTGTGCAAAAGCTTTTAAGTTTAATTAGGTTCCACTTGTTTATTTTTATTTCTATTACTATAGGAGATGGATCCAAAAAGATATTGCTGTGATTTATGTCAATGCCTACTCTTTTTAAATATCTGGTTATCAAAATTAATTCACTGAGTCAACAAGTCTATATATCTATGATTTTAATCCACTGGCTCTGGTTCTGCCCTCCAAATATGGAACATGTTAAAATGATGAGGCTAGGCAAAGTGATATCAAATGCTCTTCCTGGTCCTATGTGATCCGAATTTTACTCTATTTCCTCTTCTAAGGGACAGCCCTTTAAGTATTTGAAGACTGCTATCAAGGACTCATCCAGGTCATCACTTTTCTATAGTAAATGTACCTTTTCCAATTATTCATATGACAATATTCCAGACCTCAAGCTTCTGGCTCTCCTTCCTTTAAATATACTAAATGTTTTCCCTTAAAATCACAGTACTCCAAAACAACACACAAGAGGTAACTTGAGCCGTGTATAAAAAGATTAAGGTTCCAACTCTTCTATTCATAGCAATCTGAACTCTCTCCAGTTCAGCTCATTTTTAAGGTGGCTTAGATTGACTTAAGTTTTAGCAGGAGCCGTTAACTGACTCATACCAATCAAATTTCTATATATCCACACGCAGTTAACATGCTTTGTTTTATACACTCAAGGAGCATTTATTGCATACCTATGGTATGTATGTCTTACACAATACACAATGCTAAGGACTAAACATTTATTCTAGCAAAGCATGACACATACACAGAATGAGTTGCCAGCCTAAAGGAATGAGGACAAAAGAGGAACTTTTAGGATTTTTGGTAGGGTGTAAGATTTTAGGATAGGTAAGTGAACAAGGAGTGGGATAAGGCAAAAGGAAAAAAAAAAAAGCTGCTCACAGGATATTCCTATAGTTCATCCTAAGATTTAGGCAACGAGAAGTCATTGAAGAATTTTTAGCTTAAAAAAGACAACTTCCAGTTGAAAAACATCCCACAGATGGCAATTAAAAGGTCAAGTTGTCCAAATCAGAAGACTATACTGCAGCAACTGGGGCAAATGATGAGCATCTTTACCACAGTTATCACAGGGGTGAAAAACAGCCAACACGTTGATTTTGAAAGTTGAGTATCACCAAATGAAGGCATAAAAAAATAACTGTATACTGACATTAACCAGTTAAATTCTGTATTTTAAGTATCTTTTTATGTCTACATTTGGTGATACTCAATCTTTCAAAAATATTCCAAGTGTATTTAACATTACCGTCATGGCAGGCTTAGAAGTACCCTGGAAGCTTAAAGTTTCTAGGGAATTCCCTGGCGGTCCAGTGGATAGGATTTGGCGCTTTCACTGCCGGGGACCGGTTTCAACCCCTGGTCAGGGAACTGAGATCCCACAAGCTGCGTGGCGCGGCCAAAAAACAAAAGGCTTCTAGTTTTCCCCTTCCAGTACAAGACAGAAAAAATTACGACCTCCCATACTCAAGGACTAGATTGGGTGAGAGTGGTATTCTTAATTTTAAGTGGCGCTTTACAAGCCATGGAATTTGCAATTACTATGACAATACCAAGAAGTTATCATTGCCAAATACAGAGTTCATGCTGTGAAAATACATCCTTTCGTCACCTAACTGTACGGTGTACTTAACTATCATCTACTTTTATTTTGCTCTTCCTAATTTATTTTTGGGGGTATTTTTTTGGGGGGGGTTGTTTTGTTTTTATTTTATATTGGACTACAGTTGATTTACAATGTTGTGTTAGTTGCAGGTGTACAGCCAAGCAACTCAGTTATTATACATACACATCTATTCTTTTTCAACTTCTTCTCCCATTTAGGTTATTACAGAATATTGAGCAGAGTTCCCTGTACAAATACAGTAGGACTTTGTTGGTTATCTATTTTAAATATATGTCATCTACTTTCATTAAAAGGAGGACTCATTATTACTGAATCAGGAAGTTGGGCAACCCTAAGAGGTTACTAAGAAAAATCTGATCCCAATTCTTAGGAGAATACCATTAAAACCACTTACCCAACCCTTTTCTACTTGCAAGAATCAAGATTATCGTCTGCACTTTAAGAGCACTGTAAATCGGCTCACTGTTGTGAAATGCCTAAAACATCCTTGGGAAAAATCTTTATGTACAGGTCGTTATAATTAAGACACATTGTTTGGAATTTTTCTCCTAGTAGTGGTGGTAAGTGGCATCCTAATGCCTGTTCTTTTTTAACCAGTGGGATCCATTTTTATAAGCTAAAGTACTAGGAGGTAATACAATAATATAAAGAAAGCTAGCACACTTAACGTACAACTTTGGCTTCACTTGCGTACCTGACACACTAATCACTACTGAATGCTTCTAAAACATGAGTCCAGCTCATAAATTTACACAACTTCTACTAAAGCTCTCAAGTCAGACAATGGAATACAATAACTAATTTCAATATATTCCTGAATTGGAAGAAGCTAGTAACTTTTTCACTTAAAACTTCATTAACATAGACTCCAAATTTTTAACATCTACCTCAATAAACCGAACAATTAGACCCTTGACATTCAGATTTAACAATAATGGCTTCAACTATTTGAGAACCCTAAATGTATGTAACAGATAATATTCTAAAATTTTGTTAAAGGATGTATCACAATCTACTACTCACAGACTGAGTCTAGTCAAATACAATCCCATGAAGGTGAAGTTTATTTCTCCATGTCCCTTCCCTTTTCAGCAACTTTATAAACTTAGGTCTCTGTACTTCTCTTTCTGAAAGTGAAAGAAATACCGTTGCATATGGAACAAAGTATTTCCCAAAGGGATTCCAGCTGAAAACCAAAGACAGGAATTCCCTAGCAGTCCGGTGGTTAGGGCGCTGTGCTTCCACTGCAGGGGGCAAGGACTGGATCCCTGGTCAGGGAACTAAGATGCCACATGCCATGCCCAAAAAGAAAAAAGGAAGAAAAAAAAAAAAAAGCCAAAGAGAAAAGGAAAAAAGCAACTAACTCTCTTTAAAAATAAATGTCCCTAATAAATAAAACAGCACATTTTTATGTAGGTAACTGGTACATAGTGTTAAAATTACCCAGTATAGTTCAGCATACATGTACAGAGTTCTTACTTCTTTAACAAAGTTTTGAAGGAATAACTTGTCATTTGTATTAGTCAAAATGTATGTCTTAGCACACAAATTTCTGTGAAAATGCGAGGGGCATGGTAAGAATCACACCAGATCTAAATCAAAGTGAACAAAGACTAAGTTAAAAAACCAAAAAAACAAAAAAAAAACCACTTTTTAGTTATTAACTGACTACTATTTCTAGAAAGAAAGAGAAGTAATGCTGATTTCTCCATCATAATATTGTGGCTGACAAGTTCCTGTATGAACACAAGAACAGGAAGGCTAGACTAGAAGTCTGAAATTCCTGTATTAACAATGGCTTAGAATTACCCACTGTAAAATTTCCCATTTTCCCAGGAGAAAAAAATAAAAATAAATGGGGATTTGAGCAGTTTTATAAAGTATTTATCAACCCTCAAAAAGCCACATCATCCCTGTTAGTAATTTTACTAACAGATAAGCTGGTATTCTAAAATGAGACATAAGCCATTGCCATCAGTTGTACAGAACACACAGAGAAATAGTCTCAAAATCAGGTAAACAAACAACAGCTATTACCACTTATGACATTTTATTGGCATATGACAATTTACAAGGGTCCCTGTTGCATTATACATCACACTGAGTAAGAATCAGTTAGCCATCTACATTCATTCTTACTGGATATATTTTTACTCAAATTATAACTGAATTCCCAACACTTGATTTTAACTGTGACAAAAGGGGAAAAACAGTAATTCCTTAAAGTAGGCTACAACTGGAAAAACAAATTTTGCTTTTTTAATTAAAATTCCTACGATGTTGAAAGGTGTACACACCTAAGGACTGAGCCATGGCCTTCTTAAAACAGCTTTCTTAATCCTTTCTGGAAATATCCTTTGGTTCATTTTTATTTTCCTTCTCTAAGCAAAAGGAAGTGTGAATGCAGGTTATCAAGGAGTTACTATTTTCTAGCACTTGTAAACAAATATCCTTACCAAGAGGAACCATTCAGCTTTTATAACATGCCATGAAGTAGGGTGTTAAATTGCGGTTTAAAAAAATTCACACAGGCTTTTTATATGCGTGGCTCTAAAAAAAAGATAACATCCACAATGGCATTCTATTGCAGTGTTTTCACAATCACCCTTCCTACTATATTCTAATAGGATACTCCTTCCTCAATTTTATTTAATAAAAGTAACCAAATCATTAACATATTTGGGTTAAAGCAATGCATTTGCACTTAAAATATAACCTGCTGGTAGGACTTGGGTAGCTTTATTCCTACTTCCTATTAAGTAATTTCTCAGTAGGTTCCCCTTTCCTGTTGTCTTATATGGAAAAGCAAAACTGCACATTTATAGACATGCATAGAGATTCAGTATCTAACCAAATAATAACTGTTAAAATAAAAGCTAAAATTTGTATAAAATAAAATGGTCGTGAAAATTCTCCTGTGTCAGAGATCAAATCCATGTTGCTTTTTAGCATGTAATTATTATTCTGACTAGGAGAATATTAGTTATGCCCTGATTAATGCAACACATAGTTGCTTTGACAGTATTTCCTCTGCTCAAACAATTCCAGAAAGACAAAATAAAAATAACCATGCAATACTTCAGGATCTTAGGGCCATGAACATCACATATACTGAGTTTTGTTTTCATGTTTTTCCCGCATACAGCTCTTAGCTAATGCCTCTGACTGCAGTTAAGGTGCTAGAAGAGCACCTGTAAACAAACCATCAGTGAGGATGAAAGAGCCATACACTTAAGATGTTTAAAAGTTTACACTAACAGAATAAGCATTATCTCCTTTTAATGCAAACATAAAAACTAATTCAGTTGCTGAATTAACAAGTGAAATTTGACTACTTTTATATATCTCTAAGAGCAGACAGACTTAAACACTGAAATTTACTATTTTGGATTTTCATTCCTTCTAAGAGATATCATCATAAACATAAAGGCAATTCACATTTGAAAGATTATCTTCCTGAACAATAGAACCCTTGGGAAGAAAAAGAAAACCCATTTTACAAACTGCAACTGAAATATGGAAAAAAATAAAAAACAAGTTAGATCAATGCTGTGACAAACTTCCTGTCAGACCTTTTTATTGGTGACATATGAAAAACAAGTTACTTAAAATACCACTAATGAGCAGTATATTCTGTTCGCCTATTATTCCTTATGGTTAGACCACAAACCAATGATTTGGCTGTCCAAAAGCTCAAATAAATATGTAAGGTATGACATCAGGTACACGTCTTTTTAATGTATCAAGTTACTCTGCAGAATAATCCTCTTCCATACCAATGCCAGGATTACAGGTTTTGTTCTGTTTTTTTTTTTTTTTTTTTTTTAAAGTCTAAGACATTCAGTAGGAAGGGAGTTTTTATTTGTACTATTGCAAACCAGTTTCCTCTCTCAAACAATAGCTGATATCTAAGACCATGACTCAAACTTTCAGGGAAGAATAGAAAGAGAAAATTGAATTTTGAACTCAAATAGTAAAGGCTCCTAAGAATGCTTTGTATATAGGCCACTGCTTGCTTTCAGTTAAAAAAAAGAAAAAAGAAAAATATTCTCATACTTTTCAATCTAACTTTTAACAGCTTGTACTTTTTTCAAGATTGGCAAAGTTTCTTTTTCCTTCTTAAGCATTTGCTGAGGTGTTAAACTAGCTTAGTTTACCAAAATAACAACTTTTTCCATGGTACACTTCAAAAATTAGTCACCCTACAATGTAGTGTGTTTGAATTAAGGAGAATGTTAAACAGATGTATACAGTTAAAATAGTTAGTGTGGTTTCTATAAACAACTGCTATTCAGGGATTTGTATGTAGAGCTAACGTTTACTTCAGAATAAACATTAACAAACAGGGAGGGAAGAGAATCATAACTTTCACAGAGCTGTACTTGACCATATCTTATAGACAAAGCAGAATTACAATGCATGTAACAAAAACAGTAAAAGTATTTTTTTTAAAAGTTGATAGTTACAAATATGGTACGTAACAATTTTCTACTTTATTTCAGTACAATTTTCAACATACAGTCTACTATTTTTCAGGATATTTGAAGACTTAAAACAAAATTTCTCTAGACTACTACTTGCAAACAGTAAAATTTAAGTAAAATGCTTACATTCTTATTTGAAAACAAAAATCATGTAAAAAAATGGTGGGTGCAAGTTCTGTTCTCTGTTGCAATCTCACTTCAGATTTACTATTCCTAAAAAAAAAAGAGAGAGAGAGAGAAAGATTAGCAAAGATATGAAGAGTGAAAATGATCCAAAATAATCATTGTTCCTAAAAATTAATTAACTAACTGGCCCACCAAACCCATACATAAGAAAATATAAGAATCACTAACAAGTTGGAAATTTCTACCTTTTCTTCTTTGCGTCTGTCCTTCTTTTCTTCATTATTTTCCATGGTCTCTTCTTCATCTTCAACAATCCCGTCCCCTTGATATTTGTCATGAGTCCATTTTGGACTGCTACCTGATTTTTTGAAGTTAAAGCGCCCTCTGCCACGTTGAAAAGTACCACGACCTCTTCCTCTTTTGGCCCAATAATCCACACCATCATCTCTGTCATCATGCTACAGAAAGGTTAAAAACAATCATCAATGAAACGTCTTTCTTGTAAGGAAGATAATTATATCCCCAATCGTAAGTCATGGTATAAATTGTCTGAAGATTGGGTAAATGAGATTGGTACTGTTCCAAAACACAAAACAAAACCAATAAAACTGAATTTTTCAACAAAAACATACTCCATCATGAAAGCAAACGGTTACATGATTGCTTCGTAACCCAAGCATCTGAGAGCTGTCCAATTTTTTTGGAGAATCTCAACTGCTAAATTACTGTCAATTTTCAAATTTTTTATTTTTGCTTTCCGTTTTTCAGTCTAAGTCCATTTATTATTCATAAGTATATTATACTGTGTATAAATGATAAAATAACCGATATTTTTCCCAAAAAAATTACCTCAGTCGTAAATATGCAACAAAGCATAAAAATATCATTACATTATCAGTAACATTTACTAAATAAAACAGGTGATAAGAATTATAGTTTACATATAGCAACAGGTTATAAAAATCCTACTGAGATTTAAATCTAAATCAATGTGTATTACACATCAGTCTTCTTGGCAAGGAAATTTCACAAGCCAAATCATGATGGCGTGGTCCCTAGAGTAATATCTCAACTTCTTTCTTCTTCACTAACCTAAAATACTGCAGTTATTACAGCCCAACCTTAATTGTTCATTAGCTGCATCCAAAAACAGATGTTCCCCAAGTTACAAATTGTTCCTTTAATCAAAACATCTGCAAAACTGAAAAGTACTTGACTTTGTCGATAAGCAGAAGAGTATTACATCCCAAAGTACAAAACAAAAAGCCAAAGTTCTCCTCCTGTAATGTAATTTAACTGCTGCCCACCTCAAACTTACTTTTAAGTTTGTACCTACAAAAATGGGAGTGACACCCCTTTATGAGACAACAGGCATAATGCAAACAATGTTGCATACTGTACACAAGTACAATCTACATACATAAGTACAACTTATGGAGTACTGATATTGATCAACTGTCCAAAAGTCACTAAAACTTTTCAAATACATAATATGAACACATTTTCAAAACATGCAATGTGCCTTTGTGCATATTCATGTAATACAGATCACCCTCCTGAATCACTTGAAAAGTTCACACATGTAATTAACAGACTATATGAAAGAGCCCTTACCCACTTCTAATAACCTAGCTTTATCAAACCAATAAAAGATGACTACGCAGAGGTGTGCATGACTCAAAGAATGAACTTAGGAACTATCAAAAGTGTAAATTTCAGTATGTCAGAAAGTTCAACTGTAAACCCAAAATAAACTATTTTAAAATAGTCTGCCACTCAAAATAATATGCACACACAATTACATAATTTCACGCTCCCTTTTGGTATTAACACAACTAACTCTATATAGCCTTTATGCTTTCTTGTTTGTGGTGTTTACACAGTATTCCATGGATTTGTAGGAAGAAGCAAACAGCCATTGAAGCCAGAGGCATGGGTTTAAATCTTAACAGAAACTGTGTGACTTTACTTCCTCATTAAAAAAAACCAGAGATAGCCTTGAAGGAACATAAACGATCTGTTAAAAAGTGCCCAGCCCAGTGCCTGACAAGCAAGCAATCAACGGTGGTGATAATGTTTATATGGTGCTTATTACTCATCTAATCCTCACAACAACCCTGTAAAATACTGTTACTAACCCCATTTTAGATATAAAGGAATTGAGGCACAGAGAAATTGAGTAACTTGCCCAAGGCCACAGAGTCAATCTTTTCCACTGCCCCTTATGCCCATCATCCACAGAATGCGCTTTCTAGGTATCTTGGTGACAGTAAATAGTTACCGTATGAGGTAGCTAAGAGCTGAAACAGAAAAAGCAGTGGCAAAGCCAGACACTACAGTTAAACTAGCAATTACTTTTAAATATACAATCATCTGAAATTAAAGAAAACAAAAGCTCCAAGATCACACTGTGTTTTTCAGAGGGTATCCCAGCAGCTACCTAAGTGACATTTTGATGCTAAGCACACTAACTTTTTTATTTTTCTTTTCGCCGCGCCAAGAGGCATGCGAGATCTTAGTTCCCTGACCAGGGGTTGAACCCATGCTCCCTGCAGTAAAACCACGGAGTCCTAACCACTGGACCGCCAGGGAAGTCCCTAAGCATACTAACTCTTAATCCTCAAATTCTTACATCCAAGATTTTAGTCTTGTTACAGACTAATTAAAATTAATTACTTCATAGATGACAAAGAGGATGTTAGATAGTTATAATACACAGCCAACAATATGTTAACAAAGGAGGCCATATTAGAACCAAGACCTTCTGAATCCTCTGATCTCTTCTGTATAGAATGATCAAGTTTCAAAGAGTGAATTTATTAAAGCGCCAACCCAAACGTCCTTCCCCACAGGGATTTTCTCTTCCTCACATGACTTCAACTCAACATCGAGAACTTGCCCATTTTAGTACTTTTCCACTTGCTCCAACTCTTCACATACTCTCACCTCTCCAGAGAATTTCAGGTTCTAAAGACTATTATCTTCCCTGGAATACTTATTATTGAAAACATTACCTTATCTTTGCATAAATCAAACTTCTGAGAAGGAAAATTTCAGATTAAGAATGCAACAAATGTTACTATTACTCAGTACTGGAGGAAAAATGATATGAGCTGTAAGAACCTTTTGGAGCCCAAGGCATGGGTTCAAATCCTGACCCCACTCCTACTGGCCATGTACCTTTGGTCAAGCTGCTCAATCTCTGTACCTCTGCGTTTTTCATCTATACAAGTGGAATAACGGTCCTACCTCAAAAGGACTTCATAAGCATGAAAATAAATTCATATATGTGAAACAATTAGAATGGTGCCTACCATAGTATATGCTCAATAAATGCTATCCATTATTTTTACTAAGTATTCAATGTTTCATTACTCTGGACAAAATTTCCATGTTTGTCAAAACCTAGGGGAATCTATAATTTTCAACTTCATTTAGTCTCAAATTTTTTAAAATATTTCTATTCTCAACACTAGCTGTCTGAAAAGTCAGACCTATTCAGACTACGCAAAATATTTTAACTTTAAATTCCCCGGTAAAAACCAGAGTTGTCATTCCAAGAGCTCATTAATTAAGAACAAAAATAATTAATTTTGGAAACTGATTTATAAGAAAAAATGTGATGCGTTACGTTTACTTCTAGTAAGCATTAGTCTGTGACAAATGCACGTATATGCCTATATTTATATAGAAATGGAGGTTTTAAAACATAACCCAGAATAGCAACATATAAAATGTTAAATAACACTTTTCTTAATTACTATAACGCCTAGCTATATGACAATAAAAAATAATTATGTCCCAATTTAAGACAAAAACTATGATACTGGAGACTGAAAGAACACCATAGAAAAATGAAGGTCTGGCCTAAATTAAATATTCGTAAAATGTTTAAGGGTGCTAAACAATTACTATCTACTTGTTCACCTCTCATTTCCCTCTTAACTTTTTGTCCTTTCACATTTGCTCTATTTGTCTGGCATTTTTACAATCACTCACTCCTCACCCCTCCTTTGCAAGGTTGGCCTTTTAATCTCTTCTGACTGGATGATCTTACTGTGGCTTTGTGACTGAATGATGGCTCCTAGACTTTTTTCTCTCTCGATCTGCATTAGCAACTGCCTACTGCACACTTCCACTTAATTTCTGCCTGGCACTTCAATAACAGAACTTAATCTTCACCTCAAATTAGCTGCTTTCCCCTTTATTCCCTATCTTTGAGAGATTCCATCTTCTCACTACCAACACCCGACTAGTGGCTCCCTGAATAAGCCTTCATAAATGTTCCTTAAACTTTTCTCAAACCTATAGTCCCTTAGTTCAAACAATTATTTCCCAGATATGTTTGTCACAACCATGATTTTCCAAACTCTGCTTAACATCCAAATTTATTAAAGTATTATGGCCTTCTAAAATTTGGCTCCCGCTTTTTCTTAATTCTCCCAAACTTACACCAATCATCTAGCCATCTGAGTACTGGAGTTCTCTATTTAAGGATGTTTCACTCCTGCTTTCTTACAGTACACCTGCTCATCTTTTAAGCTCAAGATTCAATCCAAAATCGTCTACGAAGTCTCTTCTAATCAGTATCTCCTTTGCAATAATCCACCATATGTATTTAGAATGTTCTCCATTACTAGGTCTCGTAAGCCAAGAATTGAAATATTTATCTTTCCATCTACAACATAAACAGCAGTCTACTCATAAATTCTTAAATCGAAAAGGAGATAGGTCTTTTAAACTTTTCTGTAACTGAATAAAATGCCTTTCACTTTCCAGACTGTCAACTCAAGCATAAATTTCTCCTCACATGAGCATATGCTGTGCAAACATTATGCTTAACTTTTTCTTTTTCAGACTCTTGGTCATTAAAGTACCCCAAAAAGAGGCAAATGGAAATTAGTTTTTGAAACAGCTACAATGCCCATTCTTCAAACAAAATATAGATCTACTTCAGAACACAGCTCTGTAACTCTAATTTAGCTGATGGCATGGACATTCAGGTTTATTCAAATATATTCATAAAAAGCCAAATGAAAGATACATTTCTATAAAATCCAGTACTATTTTCCTCCTTGCTTCGACAAAACAATTAGTCTTCAGAAATAGTCTCTAAAACATGACTTCCCTGAGAAGCTATGACAAAAATGAGTATTCTGGTAATAGTTTTTTTTTGGTGTTTTCTCAAGTTTCTATAATACAGGAAAAAACCCTCTTCTCCCATGCCAAAGTGCAGAAAATTTCCATCATTACCTAGAGAATCTTTCAGGACCCACCTCCTCTGGCTTCATCCCTTATAAAACTACTTCAGAGAGAAGAGCATCACAAGGAAGCACTAAATTAATGTGTATCTAGCAACTTTTCCATAATGTAATTTTTCATCTTCCTTTTACTCCAATAAAAGTTAACAGCCTCCTGAGAACCTTGATTACATATACTGTGAAAGAATTCTTCTCCTTGTCTTTCAATTAAACCAATAGCTGCGATGATGAAAAGTAAATCTTAATTAGAAGCTTCTACAACTTTTACCGTCTTATAGACAGATACGAAACAAGTTACTGTTCTTCTCTGAATGTGGCTATCAAATCAGGTATATTTTTACTTTACCCTGATCAGCCCATAGGTGATATCAATAAAGTATAAACAGGACTAAAGGGACCCACATTTTCAAAACTTCAAAATCATCTGGGTAATGATTTATTTTAAAAGTTTCCTATATGATGGTGAAATCTTCTCATAGTAGTGGATACCTGTACTCAAATGTATTCACCCAGTATGCTTTGAAAATTAATGCAAACCAAATAAACAGAGATTTCTAACACCCACCAAGAAGTACTTCTTGCTCTTTGGGGTATATTCTGGATCCCATTCCTCTTCCTTCGGTCTCTTTTGAAAAGTAGTATTTGAGTTGTTTGGACCAGTATTTGTCCCAGCAAAAACTCCTCTGGCTCTTCCTCTGCCTCTAATTCGAAACTGATTAACATTAACAAAGTTGTTTAGTAGTGAAATCAAGAGGTATTAAGTTACATGCAAACTCTAATTTTACTGCAGTAACAAAAAACATTCCCTAATTTCTTTCCTAAATCTCAACTTCATGGCCACTGAGGCCAGTAAGGAGGCAAAAAATTCTGCCTACTGAAAGCTGAGTAGGTTAAGAAGAAATGCAGTCAACCTAATTAGTTAACAGTGCAGTCAGAATACTGCACTTTCAAGGCCTGAACTAAAATTTTTAAATAATCAAGTTGGTTTGTTTCCCTTCTACTAGCCAAAAGAGTTGTCTAATTCCTAACACTAACATCCCAAGTGTTCAACTACACCTATCACCATACAGGCAAAGCTCTTCTCTTTCCCAAATGATCTAATTAGTGAACCCCACTAATAACAAACTGGATACTTGCTCAAGGTAGGAATCTGAATCTAGAAATTAAAGAGTCAAGAAGATGCACTACTATGAAGTCATTAAATTAACAATTGTAACAAATTTATGGAAACATGGGAATAATGCATACGCTATGTAGAATAAAAAGAAGATATAATTTCTATGACTGATACACGGATAAACAAGAACTTGAAGATAATAGGCAAAAATGAAAATAGCTGTCAATACAGAGATGAACATATGGATTTTTTTGTTTGTTTCAAGACTTTTTTCAAGGACTAAGTGATTAAAGAAATGGATCTCAATCACTAACTTTGCTTGACTCTTGGGTCTCTAAGCACTATGTACAGTTACTGATTCCAATGTTAAGAAAAGTTATCTAGTTTATATAGATGCTTCTAAATCTCAAAATGGCATTTTATTCTTTTAAAATCAGGCAAAAACATTTATTTTTTACTTTATATACGGAGAAAGCATCATCCCAGCTCCAGCCCTTCCTCAATCCCCCTAAATGGCATTTCTTAGTGACGATATATCAAATACCATTTTATTTTTCAAGCCTATACGAGTAATGACTCACACAACAGACAATGTCTAAAACATATATTTTACTTTCCTTATGTATAGTACTCTTAAGTAAAGTTCTACCAAATGATAAAAGATAATTTTATTACTTACAAAGGTTCCTCGTGGTCGGCTAACTCCTCCAAAGCCTGAGTATTCTTTCAGTTCATGGTGAGTTTTAAATTCTTCTTCTCTTTCCTTCTTACTCTCCTTTTCTTCTCGAGAACTGGGAGAAGAAGGTGATGCTGAAGAGGATGAAGATCGAGAATGATCTTGCTCTCTACTTTTATGTTTACTGCAAAATAAAGCAAACAAAAAATGTGTGCTATTTTTTAAAAAGATAAAAAGACCCCCTGTTGAATCTTATAATAAGAGGGATATTTTTCAAGTCAAAAAAACTATCCCCTATTAAAATTATTATGCAACTAAAATGATTGGGTGTTAAACTCTGACATAGTCTGTTTCCATTCTCCTTCAATATTTGTTTTACATGACTACCGAAAAACATGGTATGACATGCCAGTTAGAAACTAGCAGTCTGGCAACTTCAAGAATAAGGTTCAGTTCTTCAGTATTTTTAACTTATTTTTATTTTAAGGAAAGGAAGAGAAGAGTAGGAAAAAGTAAGAATGGTCTTAAGGCCATGTTTCAAAATGAATGCAGTCTGTACACCCTGGGTGAGAACAGTTGATATCGTTTAGGCCATAACTCCGTTATTGAAATAAAAAGCATATGACATTACAAATACCAGTAATAAATTAAAAAACACAAGTAAAATGCACCATTTACCTAATGAATAGCAAGGAAAACAATTATCTATAATACTTCTTAGTATTCCTGTTATTTGACTCTATGATGATCAATTTTACATGATTCTAATCCAACACCCGAAAAGGTCATACCTGCGATAACTCTTACCACTTCTAACAGTATCCATGGAAACATTACTTTGAAAGACTAATACACATTGCTATTTCAAAAAAACTAGTCCTTCCTCCCCCCCATCTCTCCCATGTTAAACCACTAGACATCAGTTTAAAATTCTTGTACTCTGGGTGTTATGAGTTGAAAAAGTGCGGAATCAAGCATAACGAACCAAAGTTCTTACACAAACTGTTTCTAGAAATGCACTGCATTGAAGTCCAACCTCCTGATGTAGCCTGGATAATAGGACACATTAATTTGTCATTTTTTTTTTCAGTGTTAGCTTGCTATTCCAAAGTTTTTGTCCTCATCCACCATAAGCCGTGTAAAAGACAAATATATTTTTGCTGTAAAACAAATAATTTTAATTGTTTAAATTTAAACATTCGATTACACAGTCAAAATTGAAAGCAATTAAGCTGACAATTATTAAAGGCTAATTAGAAGCTAAAACCTAACTCAGACAGTTTTAACAGTTACCTGTCATCTTTGTAAGATTTGTATTCCTTGTAATCTTTTGGAGTTTTTTCCTGCTTTCTTGATCCACTGGATTCCCTGGAGCCCTTGGAATCCCCCCGTTCTTTACTTCTTTCTTTTCTCCGACGATCAATGTCATGCCGAAGATCAGCAGAATCACACCTTAATTTTTTATCTCCCTATAAAAAGACAGATATAAAATACAGATTTCAGGGAAACTATAGGGACAAAAATACATATATATGTCCGTGTATGTACGTGTGTGTGTGTGTGTGTGTGTGTGTGTATACACACACACAAAACCAAATTTTATGCCAGTTTCTAAGCTGGCATTTTAGTATCAGAAAAGAATGAGTAACATACTACTTCCATACTTAGTTTTTGTTTAAAAATGCACTTGATGTTTTCACTAAACATTTGTGTACGCAAGTATAATGGGACTGGGGAAATTATTAAAAGGTAAATCATCTTGAAAATGTCGTAGGTTTTTGTTCAAAGCAATCCATAATAAACTTTCATACAGTAAAATGATACAATTATTTTTGTACTCAGCACATCGTCATTATCATCCTTCATCCTTCAAAATGTTTTTTTATGTAGTTTAACAATGATAGAGGTTATACTCAGTTGTGGGTGTAGTCATCTGCCTATAAATAAAGCTAAGGGATCCTAAAGTAATGGTTCTCATTATTTAAGCCTCGTTGTCATCAAGCTCTTCCCATATAAGTTGACCAACCCAATAAAAACCACTTCAAAAGTTAAGTATTCTGTAATTTCCATAACATGCAAGTGTAATATGATTAATGAAACCAACTGAGGTTGAACAAGGGTAGAAACAAAGCCAGAAAGATATTATTCCCAATCCTGTACTCAGTATCTGGGCCATATACTGCCCTTTCTCAATTCAGGTATTGCAACGGACATTAGTTTAACTGGGTCACAATTCACCTCCTTCTTGTTCCATTGCTTTTTCAAATACTATATAATTTAGGAAGATGGAAAGAGGCATCTAGGAATGAAGAAAAATTATACATCAGTAAGATGCTAAGCAATGTGGACATCCTTGCTACTATTCAACAATAAGTACTTACTCTGGGAAGTCTAGCTATAATGTTCATAAACATTCATATCTCCAAATGATACCAACTACTCACCCATTTGCTCCCACTGTAACAATAAAAATCTAATCAAGAGCAAAAATCTTCCTATTCACCTAGTAATACATTATTACCAAGTCCACAAGTAACAATATAAGTGAAAGCATTTTGTAAAGGCCAAACTATATATATATATACACACATATATATACGCGCATATATATATATATAAACTACATAGTACTAAATATATGTTAATTGTTCACTCAGATAGGAAGATAAAGGATAAAAAGCAATGTCATATCCTCTTGTCCTTCCATTAGTTATCACTATTTTCTCTCCTCTCAATCAAAATCGGTCTGAGTAACGGAGAGAAGGAAGATATTCACTCTGTCAGAGTACAAGAATAGACTAAATTGTGGGCAAAACAAAATTAACCAACATTGAACCCAAGGTATTGAAAGTAAAAGCCAAAATTAGCATTCACTTCTCAGAATCTGGTTTTCCAAGATTAATGTGCCCCATGCAAAGAAACCACTTTCTTCCTAAGCTCTAAATTTCTTATCTAATGAATTAATAGCATGCCTAATTAAAATGATTATATACTACAACCATTAGTAACAGCTTCTAGTAATAAAAATGCCAATGTTTTCATAACAGCCCAATTATTCAACTCTGCAAGATAGATGTATTCTCACTCTTCCTATTAGAAAACCAATGTCCAAGAAGCTAATTACTTTCCTAATATCACAGAGACAGTACTCGGTGATGGCCAGAATTGGAACCAAGCAATACGCTTCCAAGTTCCCTAGCCTTTTCACTACAACAGACAGTTGCTCCCTTTTAACCTTGCTCCACATTTCAACTAGACTTTTATGGACTGTCATATAATCTACCTTGAAAATGTCAATTTCAAATTATCAATTAGTCAGAGTCCCTTAACGACTGAATTCCATACTCAGAGTCCTCCGACCCCAACGCCAGTAATTCCAGTCATTCAGACTCCTTTCTCAAGTTTAAAAGCATTCTTCCCCCCAATCCACAAAAACTGTAACACAGTTTTTGTTCCAAATGTTCATTTGTAAACCAGTTCTTAGAATGCTTATTTCTTAGTCCAGATCAAAAATGCCCAGTAGCATGGAGATTACTTCTTGTTCTCTCTGTGAAGAACCTAGAGATATTAATTTAGGCACACATAAATCAAGGAATATTTATTCTGGCTCATCCATTTCACCTCTAACAGAAACCCTAATATAATTTATATCTTTGCTTTTATAATTTTCCTTTGTCTACTCATTGATTCTTTGCCCTTTTCTTACAACTAGTTTCTTCCTTTCAGTAGCATTTAAAAAAATTATTCTTGGTTTAACTTAGATATATAGTACAAGTGTCAGCTTAATTTCTTCTAGGAAAATACACTATATACGCTACCATAAATATATACATAATGTATTTACAAGTTACAGATGATATCCATAAACATTTTGCCTAAACAAACTATGCTTATTAGTACAATATCATTAACTAAGCTGAAGTTAACATGAGAAAAAAAAAAAGGTCCATTCAAAACATACCTTTTGATTTTCTTCTTTAAAAACTCTCTCTTCCCCTGCTAAACGCGTGTGCTTCCTCAGGGCACTTGGAGAGATGTCAATTCTCCTTAATGTAAAATAAAGTCTATTTGTAGTCACATTAACTTTATGGTTCCACAAATTCCTAAAATTGTCCATTTTTGTAAAGGAACTACTAGACAGTTGTTTCTCTCCCAGTTGTCTAAATTTAGCACAGCAAGATTATTAATCTAATTCCTAATAGATAATTAAGAAATAAAAACTATATTAAAAATGAAAATGCTTCAACCAAATTTTTATATATAAATGAAGCCTGACCTTTTAAGATATCAAGCTTACTTTAACCATCAAAAAAAGGAAAACATGTTTTGATTAAATTGGACATTATCATTTTAAGTGTTAATCATCATACAATTATAATCATTGTGTATCAATGAATACACAAATAGGATTATTTGTTCTTAAGTATCTCCAATATTTTTACAGATTCAGTAGATCTTTAGTTTTATTCTGTGCCTTTTCTTGCCTTTTTAAGCTAGTGTCAGTTTCATCTTCTCAGTGCCTCTTCAGCAGTGACCACCAAAACCATACCTACTTTGTATTAAGCACCGAACTAGATACTTTATAATCAATACTAATTGTCACCACCACCCTGCAAAAGAGGCACTGTTATTCTTGTTTGTAGATGGGAAAAACTAATGTTAAGCGATTAAATAACTTTTTTATCACAACGCAATTAAGTGAGAGAGCAAGGACTGGAACATAACCGTCTGACTTCAACATTCACGATCTTTTCATGAAAAACAATTCTACCTTTCACCAAGCATTTTAATTTTACAAACTTACTGGAAGTAAATCGAATTCAAGGGTTACTTACTCTAGGCATCCAACCCCCTCCCAACATACAGATGTTGTAACTATTTAATTTCATACTGGCAAGTGATAAGAATTAGTGTTTTAAGTTCTAACAACCAGTTTAAACCAAATAAAACTGAAAATTAAAAAGAAACAGTAAATTACAAACTTTTCAAGATTGGAAATATATTTATTCAAGCTACAAATCAAAGTTCGTTTGTGTCACGACATCCATGCAGTTCCATATATCTTGTCTAAAGTTCCAACATAAACTTGTTTAAACAGTGTCTTCCTATCAAAACAACATTTTTATATGCCCAGTATACATTACCTGTGTATCTCAGGGCTCTTTTGCCGGGCACTATGTTCTTCAGTGGCTTTCTGATACGAGGTGAACCTCTCGTTTAGAGTCACTGCAGCTGATTTGAAGTATTGCTCTGTTGATTTAGGAGAAACACTGCCCAGTTAGTTCTTTAAGAGCGATTTTCATTTGTGACAGAAGGGCATGTAGCAGGTGAAAAGAAAATAAAAATACTCAAGAAACCTAGCAGAAGAGAACCAAGTGTTACAAAGAACTCCTACCCTGTCCCTTGTAACTTCTTGTACCTCAACAGGTAACTGATGCAAAGTTCCACAGGTCCCTGTCAATATTACATATAAACCAAGAACAATAAATATATTAAATTGAGTCTCTAATTCCATTTCAATAATGCACTACACTTCCTCAGAACAAAAAGGAACAATATGTGAATGTCCTTAAGCCTTGCCAATATGAACCAATGAAGTTAACTTCAAGTAATCATTTGCAGGAAACAAAAAATGCTACGATAACTACACAGCTAGTTTTAGTAAGCTAATCAAAGTATTTCAGCAAGAACTATGTTGACAACAAAAACTGGATTTAAGAAAAAACTGAATACTGCCATTTCAATTGGAAAAATATTTTTTAAATCAATTAACACTCACTAATTACTCCAAAACTCTGGCATCTTGGCAAACCTGACAGCACATTTGATATTATTGTCTTGTCTTTCTTTTAACAACTTTAAAATTAGTAATAGCAATACTGATTAGTTTTTAAACCATTTCAAAATATGCTGTAGATGTAATACAGAAAGACGTATAAAGTCATGAAATGTTACATTATGAAGCAAGCTATCTGCTTAACAGGTCAACATACATCTGTGTCAACTTACCGCCCAATATCCAGCACATGTCTCATAACCAATCATTAAAACTTGAAACGGCCACTACAAGGGTAGTGCCTCAATCATAATTCCATGAAACCCAGGAATTTGAGCTAGCAACTCAGTTTTTATGCCATTTTTGCCAGGAAGACAGAAGATTCAACTTTGCCTGTATCTTTCAACAGCTATTTTACTTTGAAACATGGATTTGCCATTTCAAAACATATTCCAGGACCTAGTTACAATGAAAAAGAAAACATCACTGGGCATTTTCAGCTCTATGTTAAGTAAGAGCTGTTCAGATCGGTTGCACAATACGAATAATGAAACATAACTACAATTCTTTTAAAAAAAAAAAAAAAGGAAAACGAAAAAGGAAAAATTTTATGAAAACCTGATCTCAAAATGCACCAATAAATTGTAAAATGTGGAGACAGGTCAAAAAAAGGTGAAAAAAGAAAAAATGTTAACGTTTCATATTCTATGCACCACAGTAATATGGTCATAAACTGGTTCACAAACCTAGTTATAGCCAAATAACAAAACTCTTTTGTTACTATGTTTAAACAATTACAGTCAAAATGAAATTCATTAACTAGTCACTGTTTTGAAATATCAAATGCATAAAGAATTTGCTAAAGGCAAGTTTCAGCTATTATGAGTTGTTCTCACATCCAAAGACAAACTTTTCAGAAAACGGCTTTTCAGAGCAACAGCCACGGAGATTCCTGGGTAAGAAGCTATTTCAAAGTAAACTGCCTTTCAAACACAAAACCAAAATAATAAAAACAAGTTCTATTTGCCCAAAAAGTCACATGCTAAAACCTTTGAAAATTATTAGTAACTTTGAAACTAAAACTACATACTAGTGAAAATAGAACATCACTACTCAGTTGAAACGAACACCCTTATCAACCCCAGGACCTAAAGAAATGTCATAATGATTATCCTAATCAGTCACCATTCACAGAATCACTACTTATCCAACATACTTATAAATTTCTTGAAATTTTTCCCCTTTAAAACTCCTAACAATGTTTTTTCTTGTTTATTTATCATATAAAAAAGCCAAATATTATAACAAGTTAACTAATACAAAATTAACACAGGAAATCAATACTGTTTCTCCCCACTGGTTTCAAGTTTCTTTAAAAGTTAAAGAGAAATTCTTAATAATAACAATACTGCCCCACTTTGTTATAAATCCAGTGCCAAGAGTACATTAATACAAGTCCCATGCATGCAATCAAAGATAATCTGTAAGCACCCTGCACTTCAAATACAGTATTACGGTACATTTCAAAAAGACTTTTAGCATTGTATAAATCTACGTCATGTTTTACCATAATACAGATTTTTAGGGTATGTTTTAATTCTATTTAGCATTTTAATCACTTTATTAAATATTAAAAATCACTTTATTAAATAGGTCTTAATGTTAACCAGACTGTTATCTCTTTCATGTAGTGCTATTTTTCCAAAAATTTAATAGTCTATATATACTTGCTAGCCCTGGGGTGCATTAATCATTACACATAGCTGTTCATTTTTTTACTTACAAGATAAATTTAATTCACGATAAGAAACATACTAAACATACCTTTAACATGATGAACCAAGGACACAATGTGTTGAATAAATGACTCTGAAGTGCTTTTGCTGGCCTGTGGCAACTTAATGTGGTCAAAGATGGATCGGAATTCTTGCTCCTTCTTGACAGAATGGACAAGTGTACTAGCAAGTAGCCTGTCTTTAGTCAAGGAAGCAGGTCTGGAGCATATCGGTAACAGACACATACAAACAAAATATACCATTGGTTTGAATATGAAAATGGTAAGTACATTCAGAAAATAATTAACTGGATTATTAACTAACCACCCACAGATTATTTATTAGGTATCAGTGTGGATTACCTGTTAGAATCATCAAGAGGAACAGGTGCCATTTTGAGTTTGACTTCAGGACGATGAGAATCACTGGCTATCATTTTGATCCTAAGTGGGCTCTCCTCTCTGAAGGTAGACTTTTCTCGTGCATCCAGATTCTTGTGTAGAGGGGGACTGTAATCAAAGAGGTCTTTGAGCTTTTCAGACTTTACCTGCTCAGGTGACTGAGTTTCTTTCTTTACTGTTATTCTTTCAGAACTTTTGTCGTCTTCCTTGTGCTTATCTTTTGTAGTGCTAGGCCTTTCCACTACATATCCAGTCTCTTTAAGTTTATAATTTTTTTCTTCTCTAAATCCATCACTTTCTCTATTGCCTTTCAATGAAACTTTGGACTTGTACTTGGGTCCTTCCTCCTCAGTATTCCGGTGAGATGCAGTAGCAAAATTTTTACCCTGATCTGCAAGAACTGACTTCCTGAACTGTCTATAATCCTCTGTCTCCTCTGTGTCATCCCCTTCTGAATCATTAAACTTTTGTTTTCCAGACTCTTTATCACTGAAGTAATCTAGAGCTTCCTGATCTTCCCATTCTCCCTCTGCCCTCCCTTTCTCTGATCCTTTCTCCTTTGGAGCCTCTTTATCCCTGGTATTACCCCTATCAAGCAGGAATACTCTAGACTCTTCATCTGTGAACCTGTGAATAAGCAAAGAAGAGGATGGTAACTCTGGATTGCATTCATTGCAGATCACTTGCATACTTAATTGTGCTTCCCAATATCACAGGACCAGTAATAAGAGGAAAAAACCCTACTGAAAAGTGCTTTTTCAGATTCCACTTTTAAAAAGCATTTAAAGCATCCATACAGCTTATGTACTGAGTTTTTAAATAAATTTACATATTAGACTTCCTAAAGTTTAAAAAAAGTAAAGCCAGTCTCAAAAACCTGTTCTATTTATAGTCCACAATTCTGCACTAACAAATCCAGATTCTAGAACATACAACACAGCTTAATTTCTGAGGCTAAGAACCACTAATAAACAATATACTTATCTATTAAAAGTCTACTTATGATTATACTCAAAATCTCAGACTATTTCACTTATCTAATATAAATAAGAGTTCAAAAAAGTGGACTTCAAGGTAATTAATATTAGATATTTAATAGTCTATCTAGATCACAAAATAGTTCATATATACTTTGCAGTAGAAAATGATGCTTTCTGGCAATATTAAGTAGAAACTATGTATCAGTCCACTAAGAAAATTAATTTTAGATTGTATAGCACTAAACCATAAATAGCATGCTTGCAGTATTCCCTCACTTGTAAGTCAATCACACTACCTTAGCAACCCATTTTCATTAAGCTTTTTAGTAACCTTTAGCAATGCTTGAAATTAGAATTCAAACCAAGTATCTCTCTGAAATGTTTACTTGAGTAAGAAATACCATTTATTATCTTTTCTACAGTCAGGCACATTCGTTAAAAACTGGCAGCTGGACTGTTTATAATACCACACAAGAACATGTAATATAACTGCATTATTTATGTAGGTCACTTTATAATGGTGAAGAGTACAAAATAAGCTAACACATAAAATTAATCTGTTTTTACTGTTTTTACAACATGTTAACCATTAGTTATACTTTATGCTACTCAATTTCTCATTTATATTCTCAATTCTGGACTGACTAAAAATGGATAAAATGAAAAGGAGGAATATGAATTAGCTTCATAAACATTTATTAGAATACTTCACTTCCAAAGTTAACAAGATATGAATAAAACCAACTTGGAATTATCTTATAAAGAAGGAAGTCAGGAGTAAAAATAGCTAAATACATATCACAATGCAATTTTTAGCCTTAAAATCCAAAAAGAATTCAAAGATCAGAAGTATTAATATTATAACCTAAATTCTCTTAGTTCTTACCTTTTTAAGAATTTTCCTGTCTTTGCAGTTTCCTGATCCCCACCATCAGGATAAAATGAGGAACGTCCCCTAGCCTCATCTCTTGGAGCATTCTGTGGTGTGATTGTCTTTGCAGGGCTTCTTCGTGAAGGGATGTGATGAATTGGACTATTCTGAGAAGGACTGTATCTACTAGATCCATTTCCAACAGAACCAGACCCAGACCTTTCAGGACTATGCTGAATGGAATGTGAATGCTGAGAGGGGGTGTTTTTTGCAGAGTGTACTGTACTGAGCATGGGGGCATCAGAGCAAGATGAACTCTGACTAGGTGGTGTAGCAATTGGTGAAGGACTATGGGGTGATCTGGGACTATTATCATATGCTGAAAGGCCAGGCCAAATATCACCAGATGTGGCTGATGATTTATTAAACTCATCAATAGATTCAGATGGGTCATGTTCAAATGTATCTTTCGGTTCCTCCTGTGATTTGTTTTTCAAAGGACTCTCTTCTTGGGGATCCCCTTCAGCTTTTTTGGTTTGTTTTTCCTGAGACCCTCGTCTTTTAGAGACAGGAGACTTGCTATACGGGGATGAAGAACGAGAAGAGGATGATCTTGGAGACCTAGATGATCTATATGACCGGCGAGATCTGCTTCGGGATCTTTGAGAAGAAACGGATCTTCTTTTTGGACTCCTGGAACGTGAACGACCTCGTCTAGGACTCCTGGAGTGTCTTCTATTCCAAACAGGTCTATATCCACCTCGATGATATCTACCTCCTCCTCCTTGATAATACCCTCTACCCCTTCCTCTGTACCCATATGGTCGTCTCATTCCTCTATTATTTCTGTAATCTCGGCGATAATCTCTAGAATACATGCGATCTCTACTACGAGATCTTGAATATGTCCTGGAACGAGACCTAGAACTAAAAATGAAATAAATATCAATCCAAGAAAAATAAACTATTACATCCTACCATCCCAAATACTTCTGGTTGAATATAACACGTAAATAAAGTGTCAAAGCCAAAAATGTATTATTTTTTAAAAAGCCCTCAGTTATACAAAAGTAAAAGTTTACTGTTTTCAATGAAGAAAATCTCAATTCTAAGGTAAATATTGAGAAAATAAAGGGCTTAGGAATGAAGGCACAGAAAACAGGGGAAAAAATTGACAACCAACAATAGGACACACTAACAAATTACAGTACCTTTATGCAGGCACTTAAAGTGATAGTGTTAAAAGAAAATGTAATGCCATGGAAGAACATTCACCAGTGAAATACCATTGGCTAAATGCATGCATAATAAAAACTTAGGCCTAGAAAAATAGTACAGGAAAATCATAAACAAGTATTAATTCGTAATGCAATTATGGTCACTTTTATTTTCTACTTGTGGTCTCTATTTTCTATGTTAAGTATGTATTACTACTTAAAGAAAGACAACCAGAGTTTATCATTTTTAAACAATAAACCTATTGAGACCTCAGAGTCAGAAATGAGAAACTATGAAACAGTATGCAAAGACTGCTTACTGCCAAATAATTCTTACATTATCCAATTCATCTCTTAACATTACAGCAGTTCCCGCTTATCTGCAGGAAATACATTCCAAGACCCCCAGTGAACTAACTCTAAAACAAGGATAACAATAGGTCCATTCACAGGATTCTTTACGAATAAAACATGTTAATGAATGTAGCATTCTGTGTAAGCACTTCATAAGTGTTAGCTGATATGATTATTATCATTATTTAAGGAATTAAAAGCACAGTAATTCACCTGTATCTCTTCTTTCTAGAGTGTGATCTTGATCTTGATCGTGAACTAGACTGTGATCTAGACTTTGATCTTGAAGAGTGTGATCTAGAATTGGAGCGACCCATTTCTTTTCTCCTAGTCAAATGAGAGCACGAAAAAGGTTAAAATCACAATACAAATGAAGATGTTTCAATTATATAACTTATTTTCGGATACAAATTGAATTTACAAGACGTAAGTTTCTCAAAGGATATTACTCATCATTATTCATATGAGTACTAAGACAGTCAATTATCCCTAACTAAAACTGTATTTTCACCTACATGACAGGTACTGTATAGTGATGACACAAGAGAAGATTTCTATGGACTGCCCCACCTATGTGCCTCAATCCAAAAAGGCAGCAGCTGCAGAAGCCAGAAAGAGCAATGATATCAGACTACAGCAGCATGTTAGATGTTATTCCATGCCCAATACAAATGCCTACCTCTCCTGTAAAAAAGATAAATAACATCAGAGTATTACAGATAACGAACCTGAAAAAAAGAAAGTAAAGTGGCGCAATACTAAAAAATATAGAATAAACCTACCCGACTGCCATCATAAGTGCTTTATGGCCTTGAAATGGGACTAAATTGACCACTCCATGTATACAATACTGCTTGGAATGGTGATGGATAGTCTCCTAGTAGAATAAAGGTCACTAAGTCTGAACAGCTGGAGCCATGGCTCTGCTTTCAATAGTCATGACTGCAGAATAAAAATGGACTTATGTGACAATGCCTAGGTTCACCCTGTAGCCTTCTGGTGAGAAGATGAAAAAGGATAAAAGATGAATAAACCGAAGAGATTGCTGCAAGAAAGAGATAATTTGGAACTACAGGAAAAAGAGAACTTGGGCACCAGTATTGTAACTTTTCTAAACACTACCTAGTATCTAATACAATAATCAGACCTCACAGAAATCAGTAACAGGACTAAATGATTTATAAGATCTACTCTTCACAAAATTAAACATATACATATGCCTCCCAACTTTATTCCTGCTACACTATTTCCAAATTTCCACTAACTTATACAAAATAAGTAATTTTTTCCATAGAAAACAACTCATTAAACTTTCTTAATAGCCTGCAATTGCCATATATTTAAACCATTTCTCCTACTACCAAAATGTCTTAGGGCACTTATTTGACCTACCTAGACTTTGCTCAGTATTATGAAATACTATTTGAAAGTACTAAGATGAGCTGAATTATAGAGGAGACAATGATGTCTGCATACTTCCTCACCGAAAAACCACATAAATGACAAATTCAAGGGGTGTCAAATATTTATTTTAAAACAAAACATATCTATCTTCAAAGAGACAAATACCAGCTTTGTCTTCTCCCACTCTTAATTCCAAGTAAGTTAGGAAATACATAAAGACAGTACTCTCCTCAGAGTTATAGTGAGGATTAAACAAGTTGATACATGTAATATACTTAATACAATGCGTAGCACATAATAAGCAATCAATTTTAATTACCTTAACACCCACATAAGGGGAAAAAAGCTAAGTTACAGAACTCCTCTTGCATGCATAAAGGAAGGTAGTTAAATAAGCAGAGTTATTTTGTCGTTTTATTTTTAAATAACTTTGTGTGTTCTGAGTCTTTAAGCAGATGTGTTTATAGAAGTAGAAGCAGGCACACAACCTAGAAGCAGAAGAGATAGACAATCTTTTCCTTAAAACTATCTTTTAAAATCTGGCTTACTTCATACAAGCCACCAGAATGCCCCCAAGAGTTTCAGACCACATCACTTTTAATCAGTCTAAATCATGAGTTCAGAAGTCACATTTTCTTAAATAAGCCAAAACTGAAAACTAGAATAAAGGATATTATTTACCTTGGGTTTTATGCAGGATCAAGCAATCAAGTGAAGTCTTTGAGATACTGTAAAATTCTTCCTGGAGAGAATGTTCTGAGAAATTAAATTCTAAATTCAAACTCCTAGCAAAGATAAAAAAAAAATACGAATTTGAATTATGGTAAATTAAAAATCCACTGTTTACAAGGCATCACACTCAACACTGCTATAAAAAACTCTTAATAAAGGCACTAAATATTTCAGGGAGTGGAAAACTGATTAAGGAAATAAATTTTTAACCACAAAAGCTTAAAGGAACTTAACTTTTTTTGTTTCAATCAGAATGCAGCAGTGCATTATGAAACTGAAGCACCTTTAATTCAAACACCTGAATTCTAATTTTAGCAATTTGGGCTTTAGAAAACAGAAGCTATGCTGTCATCCTATCAGAAAATTCCAAAGTGGCTGGCATAAGTGGCCATCTTGGTATATCAAAACATGTCGTGTATCTATAGTTAGTATTCATAACGCTACAGTTTGTAACTTAACTACAATATGAGTTTATTTTAGTGCTCTGCTATTGATCTTATTCTCTCCTGGTCACTTCCTTTCATACAGTTTGGTTTCATTTGAAGCTGTTTTTTTAAATTCGTGTTAACAGCCATCACAGTAATTCTAATTTTGTGCCTAAAAGCATTTTGATACATGTACAGATGTTCCAATAAAAGAACAGCCAGTAGATGAAACAAATATCTATTGGAAGCCAATGCTCCTCCTAATTTACCATTACTATGAAAATAAATTTAAATTCTGCACAGACTATTAAGTAGTTTCAGTATTTACTGAAAAACTTAGCCTAATGAATAACATTCAGTGATTATCAATTATGTGCAAAGAACAGTCAAAAAACACTAGGGGAGCAGAAACTAAACAATTAACATTGTACATGCCTATACTCAAGGAATTCATAAACCAGCTTGAATGAAAAAAAACATTAATATGAAAATCTGTGAATCTTACCAAGTTATCAATCCAATGAAAAATGTAATAACAATGAAAATACAAAGTAGAAGAAATTAAAATTAAACTGGTAAATCAAGAATATGTCCCCTAAATACCCATGGCCCTACAGCTGAGGGGATTAAGAGATCTGAGCTTTCAGAAACTTAGCAATTAAGGGAAATACACCAAAATAAAAATTAGCAAAAACAAAAGGTCATGGATACAGAAACAAAAAGATTTCTAAAGTCCTTGCATGTTTAGTTTTAAAAATATCAAATCCCCCAAGTGGGCAGAGGAAAACTCTCATCATCTAAATTGGTGCGTTGTTATGAAACTTTATGCTGACCTAGAAGTCCAATACTACTGATTCACTGCTGGAAGTGATACAAGGCTCATTTTAGCTAACACTTCCCCCAAACAATTCTAAAAGGCTAATTTTAATTTCTATATATCCAGAGAAGAACCAACTGCCAAATCTCTCTTTACTCCAAGTGATGATTTTCTGAAGTTCCAAGAAAATATACACTAGAAATAGCAGTGAGGAAGGAGGGGCTGTAGGCTGTTAGACTAGTAGATGAGACTACATTCTTGTTCACAATCTATGAATACATTCTCAAGTATCCATACCAAGAACTCAATGATCATATATAAAATGTCACACAATATACTTAATAATATATAATGTAAATTATATTTAACATTTAATAATATATTAATATTTAAGATAGTACAAAGACTGTAATCTGCTCCATTTCTTTTTTTTTTTTAATGAAATCTATGTACAAAGCACTGTGCTAAATATTATGGGAGACATAACTGTAAAAGGTCCCTGCCCTCCCAAAAACAACTAAAGAAGAACAGAAATCAACAAATTACAGCAAATTTAACTACCAACCATGTGCCCAGAACTGTGTGCTAGGTGACTTTAAATAAAATCACCTGATTTAATCCTCATAACCTTATAAACTACATATTTAACCCCATCTTTCAGATGAATTTAAGCTTTCAGAATTCATATGAATTTACAACAAAGGTGCCTATCACAAGCCAGGCACAACTATTCTAGTGTAGGAAATATAACACTTTAAGTGAGACATTAAGTTCCCTACTCTCTTGGAGCTTATGTTCAAGCTAGGGGAAGAGAGAAAACAAAAAAGTAGTATGTCAAGAGGTGAAGAGCAGGACTACTACGGTGGGTCCTTGAACTGTGTTTAAAGAGGTAACAGTTAAGCTAAAGACAAGGAACATTGCAAAGACCCAAGAAAAGAAAAGCATTCTAGGCAAAGGACACAAATGTAGCAAATTCAGGACAAAAAGACCAGTAAGAAGGTTGAGGCGCTGTGATCAAGGAGAGGGTATAAGATAAAACAGGAGAGACAGGAAAGGAGCAAATCAAATAGCATCTAGTAAGTAGGCCAGAGTAAAGAGTCTAGATTTTATTCTAACTGTAATGGGAAAGCCCTGGAAAGCCTGATCAGGGAAGTCACACCATAAGATTTAAGATGGCTGCTGGGTAGAGCATGAACAACTTGGAAAGAAGAACTTGGAGACAAACTAGAAGGTTGAAGTTCAATATAATGGTTGCCTGGATAAAGTGGTAGCAATAAAGAAAGAAAAAAGAAGCAAATCCAGAATCTGGTTTGGAAGTACATAGAGTCAACAGTACTTGCTCACAGATTGTTAGTGGTGTGAAGCACAGGGAATTGAAAAAAAAAGAAAACGAAAAATCAATGGTGCTCCTAAATTCTAAGTTTTGGGCTCAAGTATCTGGAAGAAGTGCAAATTTGGGGGCAAAAACAGGAGATTTGTTTGCCCTTTTAGGCTGCCCATGGTCACAGACTGTAAAAAGTTAATCCAGAATTTGACCAGGATCTCCTGTGCTCTCTCCGATACCCTGACAGGCGCCTGATGTGGCCATAACCTACATATATAATTCAAAATGTCAAATCAATCTTCCCTCTATTCTAAACAAGATCACTTACTAACACACTGTAAAAAGAGACAGAGAATAAAGTGCTTCATGCACCTTTATCCAAATGATTCACCACCCAGTGAAGAACACAAGAGAATGAGTCAGGCTTTATTTTTCTAAATAAAGTTCCCTGGTGGCCTAGTGGTTAGGATTCTGGGCTTTCACTGATGTGGCCCAGCTCAATCCCTCAAGCCAGGCAGCAGGTCCAAAAATAAATAAAGCTCTTAACAGAGCATATCGTTTATGGAATAATACATAATGATCAGCTAGAACACAAGTGACGGAAAGAGCAAAGACAACTGGGCTCAACAAAATACCCAAGTTGAAGCTCCTCCAGAAGAGATTCTTTAGGTTACCCTTTCAAGCATACTTGAGCCATCTTAATTTTATCATACTCAGGGAATCTGGGCTCCGGATTTTGTAAACAAATTATTGCTATTCACATCTTTAATAATCCTAAAATTAATATCCCATGACTCTTACTCCAACTGACTAGGTTCAAAATTCTGGCTTGACCATTAACTAGCTGTCCAACACTGGACAAATTACCTTAATCTCTTCCAGCTTCAGTTTCCACATTTATAAAATAAGGTTAATTACGGTACTTACTCATAGGCTTAAAATTAACAAACTGAACTAATAAATGTAAGCAACTTAAAGTTTGGCACATGGTATGCATTCAAATGTTAACTATCATTATTGGTAAACCTGGTCTGTGACAGTCTTAACTGCAGTTTATTAATTCTGCTTCAAATGATTACTATATTTAAGTTTGATATTTTTGATATGGCATTAACCAGCATTACAAAAAAGTAATTTTGCTTTAAAACACTCCAGAAAAAATGAATTTGAAGAATGGATATATGTATATGTACAACTGAATCACTTTGCTGTACACCTGAAACACAACACTGTTAATCACCTATATGCCAATATAAAATAAAAATTTTTTTAAAATATTAAAATTGGTAAATGCTGATAATTATTTAACCTAGATAACAAACAGTTCACTATTCTCTCTACTTTGTGCTTGAAAATTTCCACAAGTAAAAGCTTTAAAAAATGATAGGTTTAGCTGCAAATTTTTAGTTCTTTGTCCAGCTCCTTGTCAGCCTGCTTTTAAAAAAAAAAAAAAAAAAGCGCACAGAACTGAGAAAAAGAAAGAATACCTTCATTCTAGACCAGGGTGTGCCAATCCCTGGTTCATGTAGCCCTAAAAAGTTTTCTACCTTTTTTGGCCTCCACCTAGTATAAGGACAAATACTGGATCAAGTAAAATTAAAGTGTTTGAAAATTCCAAAATAATACACAAATGTAGGCCTGTATTATTACTACATTAATGTTTGTAGACTGTTTCTTTCCCAGCCCTGAGGACAAATAAAACATTTAATATTTAAGACTCCGACATAATACTGATGACCACTGTTTAAGAAACTGGAGTTGAAAAATGAACAAATTCCTAACCTACAACTATAAACTAAACATTTACACTTACTACCCGGAGATATAAGTTGGACTTCTTGATCCCCTTACCTACTTCTTGTTATTTAATAAATCACTGTAAATTACACAGGAGAATTCAGCTAGTGGTCAACTAATGATTTTGAATATAGCTTCTGGAAACTCCCAATCCAAAGCTCTATGTAGAACTGTAAAGACTTTCTTCGTTTCTGTAAGTCGTGACTCACATAGTTAATCTAGTACAGCTAGCTGCCCACATTAAGTCATTCAATAAACTCAACTAGACCTGAGCCTACCAAGTGACAAGTTTTTACAGGTCTATTTCCAAATACTAAAATACTATTGTTCTTCCAAGTCAAGAGTCAGCTCTGCCTAAAAAATTTCCTTTGCCACCATTTTAATTATCTGAATCAAGGGGGATTTCAATGTTTACCACAATGTATCAGTGAAAGTGCGGTATTTAAAAAAAAAAAGCTAACTGCCATCAGTAAACAGGCTTTAGGTTGTTCACCTAAAGTGAGTTATTTCAGACACACAAACGTTCGATTCGATTACCTACCCTAAATTGGCTAGGATCACATAATAATGCAAATAAACTGGCAGGGGTTTTTCCTATGTAAAGGTTCTTTATTGTCTGACCTGCAGCCCAACCCTTCTTCCCAACTACAGTCCAATGGGAAAGAAAATTTACATTGAGAGATAAGAAATTTTGTTTTGCTTTTTAATACCAAAAAAATTTTAAAGGCGCTGCTGCAAAAAGATACAAGTCTGAAGCAGCTAATCTCTGTACATCATTTTTGGTCATATCTGCCTCCAACTTTAGTCTCAGTTTTTTCAATTCAAAATGATTTATAAAAAAAAAAATTTTGACATCGAAAAGTAGCTGCCAGTACTACTAATTGATTCTGACGAGATAAACCTTAAAAGTAAATAAAGCCAACTACGGACTTAAATAAAATGAGGGCAAAGTCCTTAACCTCAACTCACCACTCCCCTCCATGTATACCACCAACTGTACCAACCACGGCTGCAACATTTCTAACGAGGTACAAGGGGCTGAAACTCTCGCAAAAAGGACGTGGCTTCGCGGGTACTACACAACTGCCCTTTAGGCCCGGGGGTGGCGGGGCCGTTCTTAGATCCATCGACTAAGGCCCGCTGCCCAAACTAGGAAACCGTGATTAGGCACCAACTCCTACAGTCAAAAGTGCACTTTCGCTTCAAAGCAGAGTTAACGGGGGGGGGGGGCCGATTAGATTAGCCCCGAAGAAAATTTTCCCGCAACCCCGGAGGCGATGCCGGGGTCTGAAGAGCGGAACAGGATCCTAAGACAAAGTGAGGTAACCAAAATAAGGCGTAAACCGACTGGGAGCGTGAAGCCGGGGAAAAGGAGTTCAAACGACGCGGAAAGGGGTTAGCTAACCTACCCAAGGCACTTCGCTGCACGTCAGTGATCCTATCAAAGCCCCAAAGGCCGGGAAGAAAGGTGGCGGGAGGCGAACACAAGTTGTACCTCGGGCCGCCTCAGGGGCCGAAGGCGGCGAAGGGAGGGAGGAGGAAGCGCGCGTGCGCGAGGCGAGCGTTCAGTCGGGCGCGAGCAGAGATCCGGGCAGAGGAAATGGGGGAAGGGTTGAAGAGAGAGATCTGCGCAAGCGCATGAGAAGGCCGCGCGGTCTGTGGGTATCGAGCCAGGCTCGGAGCCGCGCGCGCGCGCGCGCGCACACCGTTCTCGCTGCTCACCCCACCCCCACCTTTTCGGGCCGTAGTGCCTCGAAAACCTGAGGGAAGCTGACCGGGAAACGCATAAATAACGGCGCAAGGTCTCCTGGGTTCTCCTGTCGCCGCCAACCCGCCACTACCAACAAAAGGCTCAACAATATTCATTCCTCCTCCACATACACTGCCCTTTGAGTGATTTGAATGCAACGCAAGGCCTACCTGACACGCCGAAGCACGGTTCCCGGGACTTATCTTCCTCGTAACTACACCGCGGCCATTTCCCGACTCAAGCACGGGAGGAAAACCATAGAGCTATCTTCGACGCGCTAGCTCCTCTCCGTCACTTCCGATTTGGGGCGTGGCCTCCGGTGCTGCTAAATATATGGGCAGGCCCCGCCCACCCCTCCGCCCTAAACCGGCTCCCTGGCCGTTAAAAAGATGTTTCCCGAGGCTTTCTGGGAAGTCGCGTGGCTGGTCTCGCGCGATGATCTGGCGGCCCCGCCTTCCGGCCTTTAGCAGCCGCCTCCGCCAGGGTGGCGGTAGACAGCGGGCGGGGTCTTGTCGCTCGGCCCTGAGGTCGATGGACCACACGGTTGGGTACGCTGGCCTCTCTGCCTTGCGTTGAGGGAACCCTCCGGACTTTTCTGTCGCCCCCACTTTTTGTTCGTCTGGTCCATGCTTTCTGTGGCGCCAACTCAGACCAGGCCAGCAAAAAGATAATCTCACACTGAAGAAAAGACGCGGAGGCAAGGGGCTGCTCTGTTCGCACACTGCGTCTCTCTACGCCAGGAAGCGCCGAGTTCTCCGACGCCAACTGGAAACCAGGAAGTGCTGCTTTTGCTTTGATAGAAAATATGTCAGACGCACTTAGAAAGGAGAAAAATGGCCACGATCTAAGTCCCTTTTTTGAGTGGCGTCACACCAACTCTACCGCGCGTAGCGGAGTTCACGCTGCAGTGCTCCGAAGCGGCTTAGGCTTCTTGGCTGTTTAGCGTCAGAGGATGCTGCTTGTTCTCGGACGTGGTTGAAGCATTACCACTTCGGAACTTAGGGACGTTGGCATGAGCATGAAAATAAAGCAGAGCACGAAGCTTAACGATCAGTTGTGCTGGCCGAGAAACACAGTCTAATCTGCCAAAAATATAAATCAGGTTATAAATAGGCAAGCCACATTTGATTTGGATAGAATTTCAGCAGGAGCCATATAGCACGTTTTCTATTAATACTTTGCTGCACTTACTTCCTTTGGGCCTAAAACCGTTATAACTTTGTTCTTTAGGCACGTAAACTGCCTTAAAGGATTTCAAAGTTGTAATTAGCAACCAGTCTTCTGTCAGTTAAATGCAGTCCAGTATTGGGCCCTAGTTGTGAATTTAACACTGTACTTAGGGGGTTCTCTCCTCACAATCCAATATACCAGCTCAACTGGAAAAAATACGTGATTTTCATGGAATGTATTCTCAGTTTTCTCTTGTTGTACAGCCTGCCCCTCACCCCATCATCACCATCAGAATGTGGAAACAGTAATCTTTGGCCTATGTGGTGCACTGATAAGTCCCAAGCATTTAGTAGGTGCTCAGTAAATATATGTTGAATGGATAAACTATATTAAAAGAAAATAAAAAGAAAACCTAACCATTGATGGCTTAATACAAAACTCTACTATTCTGCAGGTAAAGGAGGGGGAGGGGGGGACCCCTTAGGGCTAAAAGCCCTTATCCATTTTTTCAAAATACACAAAAATCTGACAGGAGTGCTTTGCAAGCTAGGATATTATCTTAAGCCTTTTTCTGCAATTCTATTGCAAATGCATTGAAAATGAAGTCACCTTTCAATGTGAGGTAGTATAACTGTGCTTTCAAATAACCTGAGGTAATAACAAAGGAGACAAGACACATTGGAACACTTTAGCAGTATTCTTGTCATTACAATAATGACTGCAAATTGGTTTATACTCACCTTCTCTCAAGTAAAATCTACCGAAAATTCCTCTGTATCCGGTGTGTGTAAATTTTACTGCACTTACAGTAAACCTAAAAACTTTCTAAATTTAGTAAATAGTAAATACCTCAAAATACCTAGAGGTACGTCTCAACCGCTAGTGGTGTGAGAATTGTTTCAGCTCTCTGCTTTAGCGTCTTCAAATACATTTTCTATAACAGAATCTTCATTCCAAATTAATATCAGGTATTTCAAAATCAAAAGAAAAAAGATCAGTTCTATACCAAGATACAGGTGTTACTGAATACCTGAAGAATTCAATAAAAAGCAGTCCAGGCTTCCCTTGAATTAAATCCATTTGATTTGAGATACTTGCTTTTACCAACCTCCAAATTAGAGGATCTTGAATTTAGATCATGTTTTATGTACTTCACTGTATTGTCTTATTTTACTTTCAAAACCTGAAATTCCACCATTACAGTTGCATTCTTTGTTCCATTCTCTTGTTTCCTGTTGAAAATACAAATAATGTGGAGAGAAACATACGGGGAAAATCAAGAGCCCATTTAACAAAAAGACATTGAATAAAAATAGAAAATTGTTCCAAGAAGAAATATAAATTGTAAACAAATGACTAACCTTATTAATAAGATAAATGCAGGGCTTCCCTGGTGGTCCTGTGGTAAAGAATCCGCCTTCCAATGCAGTGGATGCAGGTTCTATCCCTGTAGGGGAGCTAAGATCCCACATGCCTCCGGTCAACTAAGCCCCCGCACCACGACTACTGAGCTAGCGTGCCTCAAACTATAGAACCCACGCGCTCTGGAGCCCTTATGCCACAACTAGAGAGAAAACCTCCATTCCGCAACTATAGAGAAGCCCACGCACCACAACGAAGATCCCACAGTGCAACGAAAGATCCTGCATGCCACAACTAAAACCCAACACAGCCAAAATAAACAAATTAATTAATTAAAAGCAATTAGTAAATAAAAGGTCACTTAAAAATAAGATAAGCGCATACAAAAGGAATACTGAAATATTTTACATCTAATAAATTAGTAAACTAATTTTAACTTATAAGTCATTGACAATTTACCACAAATGTATTTATAAAACTCTTTCCTTAGGGTTTTGGTTTTGGTTTGTTTTGTTTAAGATAATTGAAAGGGAGAACGGGAAAAGACTTGATGTCTGAAAAGGACAAAGAAGATAGGAATGAAAATGGGGTTGGAAGGCTAGACCACTAAGGCAAATTCCCTCATTCTACTAGTTTTGCTTGTTTTATTTTGTTTGTGCTTTTAGGCTGAACAATATAGGAACTGTTATTTGGGGAAATTAAAGTTGAGGGGGGATTTGGAGTCCCTGTCTCCTAACTCCCTGAGAATAGTGACGTTGCTAACCCAACAACAGTAGTGAGAAGCAGGCAAAAGAGGAAATGGGGCCAACAGAGGTTCCATTAAGACTGGGGGCGGGCAGTGGGGAGGGGGTTGGCTATCGTTTCTGCTGCCTCCTCTGTTCCTATCCTTCCCAAGGCTTTGCATTCACTCCTTTTTTTTTTTCTTTAGTTGTGGTAAAATGTGCATTGTACTTTGAGCTAGCTGATATCTTTCAGTAAATTTCTTTTCTGAGTGAGTTAACCAGAGTTGGTTTCTGTTGCTCACAAACAAGAATCCTCAATTGCATACTTTGAGTAGAGTCAGTTTCTGTTTATGAAGACATTTTTCCAAATGGTCTGACAGTTTTCCCTATTTGTACTATTGAAATAAATGTTTCCCCTTGCCTAATCTATTTCACTTCCTACTGGTGAACACAAGTTGACTGGGTTTTCCATCCCCCACTCTTTCTATCCTCTTTTGCCTACTAAGAATGTGAAAGTTTTTTGTTTTCCCCCAAGATTTAAAATTACAAAAATTATTTATTCAAGAATTATTTATTACAGTATTGTTCCTTAATATTCATTTCTCCATTTGAAAAATAATTAAAATATCAAAGTGCAACTGGTAACCATTGTTCGTAAGTCCCACCAAGATTAACGTGCATCTTCCTCACAAAGATTATTGCAACAAATGGAATATGTAATACTTTCAAAGTTTTCATAAGAAATCTTTGCCCCAAAATTATGCCAGCTGGCTATTTAATGTAACTACTAAAGAGCAGAGAGGAAAGTCTACTTAAAATGTGGTAATGGAATTATGATTAGATTCGTCACCAAAAATCATTTCTCCCTTAAGAGGTTATAAGAGGAGCAGAGCATCTCCTTCTTTTAAAGCAGTTGTCTACACAACTGCAGACAAACATTTCTGTGTCTGTTCCCTAAAAGGTCTAAATTCTCAGTTCTACACACACAATTTAAAAGAAAAATCAATTGACATCACAAGCAGAGGGCTAAAACTACATAGAGGGCTCAAAAAGTATGGGGATATCCAAAAATGGTGAAATATTACATTGGGGGAGGGGGACAATAACCCTTTGCTCTCCAGACTTCTTGGGGTGTTGAAATTTCACCCTCATTGCTTATGAGAACTAAAAATTAAGCCTGGTGTAGAGGAGTCACCACAGATATTGACAGGCAGTACCATTTTTTTCTCAAAGTGTGATACAAAAATAACCTGGGTTGCTTATTTTAAAAATAAACCATGACACACACTGAATTTCAGTTCACACTTACTAAGGCAGAATCTGTGAGGGCAGGCACACACATTGAAATCTGAGAACAACTGATTTATTGAGTACCTATAATCGTCCAGATATCATGGGAATAAGACATCGTTGCTTCTTCTCTGTTGGAACTCAAAATCTAGCAGAGATAGGGTATAACTCTCTAAACAAAGGAAACAAAAGGATAGCTTCATGGGAGAAGTGCCAGTGGTGAAATAGGGAAGGCCTAGCTTTTAAAGAATTGGTGGGATTTCACCACATGCTTATTCATTCATTCATTCGTTCATCCATCCATTCATCCATTCATTTAACACACGAAAATGAAGTATGTGCAGTGTACAGACACTGAGCCAGGTGCTTGGGACAGAGTGGTGACAAAGACTAACATTGACACTGCTCTCCAGGAGGCTGCCAATCTAATAAGTGGGACAGACAGAACACATGGAAACAGACATAATACAAGGTCTGATACTGGTAAGGAAGTGGCAGAGAATATGAGAGGGAGACTTACTTCAGAGAGGATGCTTCATCAGGAAAGTCCTCGTGAGGAGACAAGCTTTAAGGGAAGAACTAAAAGATAAGGAGTAGGAAAAATAGGAGGAAGAATATTCCAGTTAGAGAAACTGACCTGTGCAAAATACCTGGAGCAGAAAAGATCTCCTTATGTTTCTGGAATGGAAAAAATGGTACTGAGCATAATGAATCAGGAGGAAGGTGGTTCAAGATGAGGGTAAATAGATAAATGCAGGTCATGCAAAG